TGTCTCGTGGTCGTCATGCAGGGCTAACATCACATTTCGAGGGTCGCATCGCTTTCGATCGTATAAACGTATCGATATCAAATCGTACAACAATATCGAACAACAAAACATCAACAAAACAGCTGATCATACACCCTAAAGATATCATGCACTTAAAAAGCAAAAATATAGCTACGCCCTAAAAGGTACACATGAGCAGAAGTTCGGTACAAACAGATTGGCAAAAGCATATTCATCTAAATACATGCTTGCTGGTAAGAGGGCGAAGCGCCGGCAAGACGGTGCAGCGCCTAGACCCACAGCGGGCCTCGTGATGGATAGGTCAGGCGGCTGGCGGGGGGGGGGGGGGGCGGCCGTCGCCGAGCAAAAGGTGTGCGTCATATATAGGTACACTGTACAACGTACATACATACATATAATGAGGTACACATACATGGTGAAATATCAAAAACCAGTAAAATATATATAACATACACATCAAATCTAAAAATCTAAAAATACAAAAATACAAAAAAGTCACACTACTCGCATGATAGGCCATGACGATCCCTGAATATTCAATGTCGGTGTCTCGCTCCTAATGATTATGCTTTCAGCAATTTTCCTGTCTGGATGATCCTGGGCTCTGTAAAGTATTCTAAAATGTAAGACATCTGAACCCGTATCAGTCAGTGAAACGTGCTCCTTCAGAAAGTGGTCACCGAATGGAGTGTTGGGAGTTCTATTGATAGCGTCACGTCGGTGTTCATTATATCGTAGACGGACTGGACGCATGGACTCCCCCACGTAAGTGGCATCTTTTCCCTCGCTTTTGCATATGCTACATTGAATTTTGTAAACAACATTCTTTTGTGTGCAATCTCCTTTGAAGTCAGACATGCACAAGTGACATCTCTGGCCCCCTGGACATTTGGGTTTGCATATGGCTGATTTTGTTAGGGCGTTCTTTAGTTTGTTTTCGTTTTTCCATGCTATATGTACGCGTAGGTTTGACTTTCTCACGATCGATTTGATTTTCCGTGATAGTTGCTCGTCAATGAACGGCAACGTTAAAAACCCGTCTATCTCGTCCGTCCCTTTCTTCTTTCCCCCTCCGCTCTTGTTCCGTGGCTCTCTACCCCTTCTTGACCTTGAACCACTTTCGGTGACCACTTTCTGAAGGAGCACGTTTCACTGACTGATACGGGTTCAGATGTCTTACATTTTAGAATACTTTACAGAGCCCAGGATCATCCAGACAGGAAAATTGCTGAAAGCATAATCATTAGGAGCGAGACACCGACATTGAATATTCAGGGATCGTCATGGCCTATCATGCGAGTAGTGTGACTTTTTTGTATTTTTGTATTTTTGTATTTTTAGATTTGATGTGTATGTTATATATATTTTACTGGTTTTTGATATTTCACCATGTATGTGTACCTCATTATATGTATGTATGTACGTTGTACAGTGTACCTATATATGACGCACACCTTTTGCTCGGCGACGGCCGCCCCCCCCCCCCCCCGCCAGCCACCTGACCTATCCATCACGAGGCCCGCTGTGGGTCTAGGCGCTGCACCGTCTTGCCGGCGCTTCGCCCTCTTGCCAGCAAGCATGTATTTAGATGAATATGCTTTTGCCAATCTGTTTGTACCGAACTTCTGCTCATGTGTACCTTTTAGGGCGTAGCTATATTTTTGCTTTTTAAGTGCATGATATCTTTATGGGTGTATGATCACTGATCAGCTGTTTTGTTGATGTTTTGTTGTTCGATATTGTTGTACGATTTGATATCGATACGTTTATACGATCGAAAGCGATGCGAACCTCGAAATGTGATGTTAGCCCTGCATGACGACCACGAGACAAACGAATTTTGAATTTTTCACTTTCTACAGGCAGTCGACAATTGTTGCGCATTTCACTCGCTACTTCTTCTACACTCGCTACGTCTTCTGTCAAATCCCGCTCTATGTATAGCATATAGTTAGAGCGTCGCAAGTCGTACTCGGCCGTTTGTCTATAAACCGAACGGTTTGATTGTTTTAGCGAAGCATCTATGGGTGCGTAACTGATTATTAACATACCGGACTGCTTGGAAGTTTTTCACTAATTTTGCTCTAAAAAGCATTGAGCACAAGCTGGACACCCTGCTTTTTTGTCTTTTGGGCACCTTTTGTCTCTTCCGTCACTTATCTTTTCTTTATTCATACATTTGTTTTTTAATTCTTAAGGTAGGCATCTTTCTGGAATGTATGAATATTTTGGAAATGTTTTTTAAACTCTGGGTCTCTTTGTATCCTTTGTATATGAGCCATGTCCTGTCTGCCATATTTTAATTATCGTTACCTACATATTCATTAAGTATGCTTTTTGAATGTGTCGTCACTTAGATGCTTAGCCGATGCGAGGCCAATGCACTCTGCCTTTCGCACCGTTGCCAGTGCCGTTTTTTTTTTTTTTACAACTTATGAGATAAATATCGTGCGAAGCTTGATTCAGAGGTGGGTATCTATGAGATCCTTTCCTGGCTGTTTTCTAAGTCCTCGGTGACTTTCGACGGAATGCATAGGATGAAGTCTGTGCTCCGAAGAGATGCCTCGGCAAAGTAACAAGTGCTGCTATCTACCGACCACGGCAGGAATTACGCGTTCACCGCTGGAATGTCTTGCAGTTCCCAGTGACTCTGCAGTCTCCATTGATCATAGGTATACAGAAGCAGAATGTATGAATGTGGATAAGCAGAAGTCATTTATTTCAGTATTTTCTTTTTGACGTATTTTATTCCGGAATTTAGTTCATCTAGAAATATTCGACAGCAACTCAATTACAATTACAATTAGGGGAGAGTGGGGTAAGATGCCCAGGGTGGGAAAGACGCCCCACCCCCTCTAGCGGCGAAACAAAGAATCGAACCTGAAAATTAATGTTCTCAGCGTAAAGCGGAAGCCTGCCTTGTTAACTGCACAAAAATTTGCGAAGCTCAGTTGGGCAACGGCTGGCTGGTGATTGCATGTTTTTTATTTGCTGCTTTCAAAAAATATTTTGGCGTCAAAACATTGTAAATATCAAAGAAGGTAGATAATTTTTGCGTCCCTTGCTATAGTCGTGGTACATTAACATGCGTGTAGGTACTGTGTCCCAAACAGTTTGTTTCAGGATGTAGTTTTATGGCTAACAAATTGTGCTGATTTAATGTTACTTCGGTACCTTGGGGTAGGATGCCCCCTGTCCTGATGGGGAAAGACGCCCCCCTAAATCCGTAGGCTGTCCTTCAAGCAGCCCGTCAAATCATTTATTACATACGAGGTGTGGCTAAAAAGAAACCGGACTGCTCGTGCTGGCCATAAAGTAGGGGGCCCGAAAACTAGTGAGACACTTGACATTAATCTTTATCATATTGTCGTGATGTGTGCCATACGGCACCTCGATATCGCTATTATTCTCCTTTCCACAGATCTTTGTTTTATTGATGACGCTGACACTGGTCACTCCGGTCTGGATGTCCTCGACTGATTCAAAATGGGTTTTCTTGACGACGTTTTTCATTTCAGGGAACAGCTAAAAGTCACAGGGAGGGAGGTTTGTCAAATAAGAGGGTGCTTGAGCACCGCGACCTGCTTTTCGGCAAAGAACTGCTGGACGCTAATGGCAGAATGCGCGAGTGCGTTGTCGTGATGGAGCACCCAGTTCTTGACTTCCCAGAAACTCCACTTGGAGCGCCTGACTCGTGAAATGAGGCGTCCCAGGTCTTCCTTGTAGAAGTGCTGGTCGACTGTGGTACACCTCCAGCACGAGCTGGCGGTGAACGAATCCCCTATGATCGAAAAAGACGATCAATGTCATCTCCTCCCTCGACTTTGACATGCGCGCGGACGTTGATGGACCTCCAGAGTCCCAGACCTTGGGGTCATCACCGACATCCTCACGACCAGTGCAGTGTTGAACCTCGTATGCCATTCAAACACTTGCATGTGACACATGACTTGCTCCCCATTAACAGCCTTGAACAGATTCAGCGTCTCTGTTGGACTTTTCTCCAGTCTGGCAAGGAACCTGATGTTTCCTCTTTTTTCGAAGTTCATTGCAGAAGCCTGACGATGACAAGGCCGCCGAACATCGATAAAACAAAGAGCTGTGGAAAGGAGAATAATAGCGATATCGAGATGCCGTTTGGCACACATCACGACAATATGCTAAAGATTAATGTCAAGTGTCTCGCTAGTCTTCGGGTCCCCTACTTTATGGCCAGCACGAGCAGTCCGGTTTCTTTTTAGCCACACCTCGTACCTACTTGTGATGAGAGACAAAAGCCGATCTGGGACTATTTAGAGTCCGGTACGGTCGGGTGCTCCCATGCCGGTCTCTCGGCCCACACAGCGACTTTTTGGGCGGCATCTGGCTCTGAGAGCCCTCACGACGGCCTCTGTGGGCCCCATTATTGGTTCCAGGGCCCCTCACGACATCCTTTGAGGGCTCCCACGCTGGTTCCACGGGCCGCGCTGGCATCTGAGGTCCCCACGATGGGCTCGAGGGCCCTCAAGCATCATGAAGACCTATAAGGGCCCCACAGTGGTCTCCGAACGCCACCACGGAGGCTTGTTTGGCCACGCTGGACTATGATGGCCCTAACGGTGACCTCTGAAGCCCCTTACGACTACTTTTGAGGGCCCTTACGATGACGTTTGGTGTCTACTGCAGGCTCGAAGGGACTACTGATTCGTTCAGGCGATTCACGTGCCTATTTATGTCACTAATAGTGCAGGGAGCATCTTACCCAACGCCAGGGGGCGTCTTTTCCACCCTGTGGGGTAAGATGCCCCCTTTCACTTCTTCAGGAAAATGCTTAATAGCAAAAAAAGTTATCATATTTCAGGCACGAAAGTGTTATATTTTTGGAGAAAAATGATGTCGGCTTCCGTTGAAACTCCAAGTTTTGGCTTTCCGATCGTCATTTTCGAATAATATATGACAAAGTCAAACCCTGGGCATCTTTCCCCACTCTCCCCTACACATTTTGAACGTATGTTTTACACAAGTCTTCAAATGAGCGTCGTTAACAAAATAGGCAACACAATTACAACTACAGACAAATAGACGGGATCACCACTTATTAAATAGCCACCAGTCTGCAGATTATCTGCCACCTATGCTGTTTGCATTGCTTTCTTACACTACCTACTCTAAAATAGGTATAAGGAATGAGTCTAAATGCGTCCATCAAGGCAGCCAAATGTGATCTTTTTGAGGAGTTCCACGATCGTTAGCAGTGAGAATCCCATCGTGAGTCCCATGTTTCCGCCAAAGTCGGTGAGCAGACTGCCGGCCGTGTAGGCCGCCGACTCCTCGATCACCTGCATGTCGCCGTCGACGCGCACGGTGACCGTCACCTCGTGGTCGGAGGCGGTGCGCGACGACGCCTGCACCACGGCCGAGACGCGGCCCTGCCGACACGGGCGCGGACACGCGCAGGACGGAGGTGCGGCCAGCTCGGCCCGCAGCCGCTCCAGCTGCGTGGCCGTCTCGCACTGCGGCAGGCCCTGGGCGGTGGCCGGCCAGACGGCCTCCAGCTGACAGCCGGCCTCGCGGGCGTGCGCGGCCGCCTGGCACTCGGACAGACACCGGCCGCGGCTGTAGGCCGGGTCCTCTTCGCAGGGACGCGACTTTCGGTTGAGACTTCGCAGCTCCTCCATTCGGACGTCCACCTCAACCCAGTCCTGGTTGTTGAAAATCTCGAAGGAGCGCTCGCGGAGTCCGCTGGGAGCGTCCAGCAGCGGAACGGGCGCCGCGTGCAGCATGACCTTATAGACGACGTATTGGATGGCATCTGGCGAACTCTGCAGATTCTGGAAAGACCTCACGTAGATAGGAGGAGCTTGTATCCGATGTATTTCTGGGAAAGTTGGGACCATCAGCGCAACTCTTTCAATAGCTACTTTCACCGGCGTGAGGTTGAAGGATTGAAGCAGGGTGTACGTGTCGTTGTAGTTTTCGATGGGGTAAAATGTCGTCTCCTGGACTATGTCAATGTCAGCCTCAGTTGTCGAAATGAAATCAGCTTCGGTGGTTGTCTCAGGGCTGTCCGTGGGCTCTTGTTCCGTTCTTGGGTCTTCTGTTGTCTCCGTGGTTCCTTCGTCTAATGTTGTGTTGGTAGTGTTGAGTCCTTGGTCTTCATAAAGAGTTGACCATGCTTCTGATGATTCTGTGGTGACATCATCGTCTTTTTCTACAGTGTTTGGCTTCCAGCGGTTCCCTCTCAGTTCGAGGACGACGGTGGCGTCCTCCGCGCTGATTTCCTCTTCCAGGGCCATCAGCGTGTAGCACCTTTCCTCGGTCTCCAGGACGTGCCGCAGCTGCCATTGGCCTCCCTCCCCGGGCATACAGCTGGAGTGGCCTCTCTTACAGCTGATGACAAACTGGTCCACACTCCGGCTGGCCTCGGCAAGCAGACGCACCGGCGATGGCTTGGAGAGCTCAAACATATTGGCTAAGTTCAATTGGATTTCCTGGGTCACATTCAGTAAGCCATCGATGCCTTGAGTTGTATCATTAACCGCCTTAGAATCGTACAGGCTAACGAAATGTAAGACTTCTTGCATTACTTCAAGAGTTTCCCTTAATATCCCTTCCAGTTGATTGTGTGAAATGTTCATCGTCGAATATGCGTAGTTATAATTGTACTCTAGTTGTCTCATGAGAAGTTCCTTTGTTTCGTTGACTGACTGTCTCAGAACACTTGTTATTATAAATATCAGGTCATACGATTCTCGTTCCATTGCACTTACGTCTGTTTCATTGCTGACGTCTGGTCGCGTTTGAAAATCCTCCACAGCCAGTTTTGTTTGTTGAAGTAGTTTGCTGATTTCCAAACATAGATCTAACGTGTCCGAATACTCGATCCAAAATTGGTTCTCGAGTTCGCCGACGGCCTGTTCGTCGACGAGCTGGTGGCAGACGGTGATGGCCGGCGGCCGGCTGGGCTGGTACGAGACCGTCGTCGACACCGGGTGGGAGAGGAAGTGCTGCACCTTGAGCACGCACAGCACCAGCAGGCCGATCACACAGAGCAGCTCGGCGAGCGCGTACACGGCGCGGCACGCGCGCTCCAGCATCGTGCCGCCGCGAGGCCGGCAGCCCGTCTGAGGTCGCCGTCCGTGCTCCGTCGACTCCCACATATCCCGTGATGGTGCGGTAAACATTGATCCGGGTGCTTTTAGGTAATGACACTCGGAGTTGCGAAGCGGCGATCCTGGATAAGACGCGTCCCAACAGTGGAGCTCATTTGTTTGAAAGTTTTAATAAGCATTGCACGCAGGAAACTTCCACTTTGGATGGACTCTCAAGTTTTATTTGTCTCTAAAGTCCTCATACTTCTGTCATTGCAAACGATACGTTTTGTTCTTGCATTGACCACATAATATTATGTTTTCATATCACCCAATATTATTGTGTGCCCTGCCCTGAGAAACGCTTTGATTGCGTCTAATACCATAACCTTCAACTGCGGTTCAGTTGATGTTGTTTTGCCACAAATGCACGAATAATAGCATATAGGATTGTAATATGATCTGAGAGCTACTGTTGCCTCAAACAGTATACAATACTGACGAGCAATTAGGTCGCCTGACCACCATATGTCATTGACCACCTTCTGTTGTGCGTGCGTACTGCTTCGTTTTCGAAATTACCGCAGCAACCCGAAGCGTTGTCATTAGGTAAATGCACCCGTATGCTCTATTTTGATTGTCGTCACGGTAACAGAGGAGCCGACGTTGGCGGGCAACGCTCCGCGACCTCAGACGGGCTGCCGGCCTCGCGGCGGCACGATGCTGGAGCGCGCGTGCCGCGCCGTGTACGCGCTCGCCGAGCTGCTCTGTGTGATCGGCCTGCTGGTGCTGTGCGTGCTCAAGGTGCAGCACTTCCTCTCCCACCCGGTGTCGACGACGGTCTCGTACCAGCCCAGCCGGCCGCCGGCCATCACCGTCTGCCACCAGCTCGTCGACGAGCAGGCCGTGTTTGTCGCCGAACAGGAGTCCTGGGATAGCTATCACCAGCTGGGCTTCCGCTCCTGGGAGACGCTGAGACTGCTTCAAGAAGCAAAGGAACTACTGGAGTTCTACCGACGCAATATATCTGAGACAGCTAGACCGTCGACTGTCGAGTCTGTTCACAGTGATGAGCTACTGAATATTACGGAAACCAGGCTGCATCTTGCATTCGACATCTTTAATTTCAACTATCAGGCGTTACTGGATGCAAGATATACACCTGGCTATGTAGTGATGAATGAGACAAAATCTCGGTTGCTATGTCTAATGAATGAATCTGTCAGTGCATTTCAGCAAGCCGTGGACGCCATCCACTCACCTGACTTGGCAGCCATCAGCAACACCATCTGTACTTTGGATCGATTGGTAAACAGAAGCAACGAAATTGATCAATCCATCACTAACTCATATGAATGGGCCCGACCGAGGTCTGAGCGCCTTCTGGTGGAGACCAGCCGGAGTGTGGACCAGTTTGTCATCAGCTGTAAGAGAGGCCACTCCAGCTGTATGCCCGGGGAGGGAGGCCAATGGCAGCTGCGGCACGTCCTGGAGACCAAGGAAAGGTGCTACACGCTGATGGCCCTGGAAAAGGAAATCAGCGCGGAGGACGCCACCGTCGTCCTCGAACTGAGAGGGAACCGCTGGACTCCTGAAGTTGTCAACGTTTCTTCTTCAAACTTCCCGCAAGTTAATGCATCTGACGGATACCCAAACGTCGGGAACGGTTCAGATTCAAATGCTACAGGTACAACTGTAATCGAGGCGGTGGAAATGACGACGAAATCGGCAACCGCGACGGCGTCGTCGGCAACTACAGAAACGGACTCCGAGCTCGACTCGACGACAACCGAAGAGGACAGCGATATGCCGACACAGGGACCAACGTTTTACACAGCCGATGACTACAACGGCACGAACTCTACAAACATCACGGAAATGATACTCGATCTTTACCCTGCACCTGAAATAGGCGTTGAAGGCTATGCGCCTCCGAGTTTCGTCACGTCTTTCATCGATTTTAATGGTGCGCCGGATGCCATCCAGTTCATCACATACAGGGTCATGTTGCACGCGGCGCCCGTTCCGCTGCTGGACGCTCCCAGCGGACTCCGCGAGCGCTCCTTCGAGATTTTCAACAACCAGGACTGGGTTGAGGTGGACGTCCGAATGGAGGAGCTGCGAAGTCTCAACCGAAAGTCGCGTCCCTGCGAAGAGGACCCGGCCTACAGCCGCGGCCGGTGTCTGTCCGAGTGCCAGGCGGCCGCGCACGCTCGCGAGGCCGGCTGTCAGCTGGAGGCCGTCTGGCCGGCCACCGCCCAGGGCCTGCCGCAGTGCGAGACGGCCACGCAGCTGGAGCGGCTGCGGGCCGAGCTGGCCGCACCTCCGTCCTGCGCGTGTCCGCGCCCGTGTCGGCAGGGCCGCGTCTCGGCCGTGGTGCAGGCGTCGTCGCGCACCGCCTCCGACCACGAGGTGACGGTCACCGTGCGCGTCGACGGCGACATGCAGGTGATCGAGGAGTCGGCGGCCTACACGGCCGGCAGTCTGCTCACCGATTTTGGCGGAAACATGGGACTCACGATGGGATTCTCACTGCTAACGATCGTGGAACTCCTCAAAAAGATCACATTCGGCTGCCTCGATAACGACCGGGTTGAGACAATCCCCAAGAAGAAATCAGACAGATGGGCTGACTCCATAGCTTAATCCTGTAATCGATATACTCATATACCTAATTATATGACCAGCGATCAGGCTCGGCGATGAGTGTCCCATACCAAGATCATGTTGTAATCGATATGTTACGATACATGAGTTTCCTCATCGATAGACGATAGGTATGTACATATATGGCAAACGTTGAATTATCTAACAATTTTCGCTCAGTATCTACCAACTCTCGAGAGTGACCCATGTTGACAATTAACCATTTAGTGGATAGCGGAACAAAGAGTTATCGGGGAAGGAGCTTTTGGGGAATTGGCACGTCCGTGTGCTCGTGCCTGCTTGTGAGCGTACTCCAATGTGTCAATATGGTTTGAGGTGAGCCCAACGCCATCGGAAGCCAGATGCTATCAGATTTGTCCTGCCAATGATCCGTTATACCATAGTGTAATAAATAGTTATTTATTACACTATGATTATACCTTGTTTCGCTAGGTGTAATTACTGACTATACTTAAGATGTACTTACATTGTACATTAAATGTACAAATATCTGTCCATCTTCAGTGGACGACGGACGTATTCACAATATTCACAATTTTACTCGTACTGTAAGATTACCCGCCGCTGATGATACTTCTCAATCCTCATGCTTTGTATAAATATGCTTGTTCAGTCGAGTTGAGTCATCAGCGACTCATCACTCAGAGAGACTGACAGCAAGGATGGCGAAGGTGGCAATTGAGTTTGACTGGATCGATTGGACAGTATAGGCAGGGGCGCGGGAACTACTTTCCGACTGGGGGGGCACACCATAATAGAGATCAACCTAGGGTACCCCCAAATCTAGTTTTCTCACCGTTTTTAGGCCACTTGTTTTTCGTCCCTCGGCTTTTTCAACAAAAAAGAAAACATTTGCAAAAAAAAGTGTGGTATTCCGTCTCAAAGCTGTGGGGGCACCGCCCCCACGGCCCCAGAGTTGGGGGGGCAAGCTGCCCCCACTGCCCCCCCGGCTCCCGCGCCTATGAGTATAGGCGGACAAAAGTGCAATATTATAAGTATAATATAAAAGACAACTAATTATCGTGCCTTTTGTTCAAAAGACCGTCTGTACGTACGTACCTATCTGCATTTTTATTTGATTTAGGGTATGATGAGTGATTTGATGCATTATTTATTTTTTTGGCAACAGGTGACAACATGTGCGAATAGCTCGCGACGTTTGGCTGGACGAGGCAGGTTTCCCTGCATCTGCCCGGCAGCAGTGCTCCATACCTACTGTTCCTCTTGATTTTCCCAATATCCGTCGCCATTGTTGCGTGACAATGTTGCGTGAACCTGACTGCGGCGCGACGACCGAGGGCTTGCTTCTAAAGACCCACTCTACTAATTGAACTCCTGGAAAGGATGATCAATGCCAACACTGAAACTGGATACGTATTACGGCTTTGTAGTGAATGACGGATACACCATTCGATAAACTTTGATGGTAGTCAGGACACTTATGTCATAGTTTCGCCTGCACTGTACAATATACATGGGCAGTGTGATTTGTGCATGCCTATCGCTTTCTAAGTTTTCCACCTCTGTAAGTTTGTATGATATAAAACTTTATCGGAATTCACTGGGATTGTATTGCGTATGCAAGTCCAAATATTTCGGCCAATATTGTTTGGCCTTGGTCACTGGACAACTACAATAAATAGCCTTGAATTACCCTATAAGTATAGCTCACATTGCAGCGATACGCTGCGTATCGCTGCAATGTGAGCTATACTTATAGGGTAATTCAAGGCTATTTATTGTAGTTGTCCAGTGACCAAGGCCAAACAATATTGGCCGAAATATTTGGACTTGCATACGCAATACAATCCCAGTGAATTCCGATAAAGTTTTATATCATACAAACATAAACCTGGGAAAAATATGACTCTAAAACAGCTCTGTAAGTTTTCCAAGTTGTTGTTTTCCACCTCCAAGAATTATTTATTATCCCGCGATTTGCTGGGGAGGGGGTAGGGGCGCTAAACGCCCCTCCCCTACTTTTTTCGCCCCGCCGCGTTGTAGCTATGCCACTTCGTCCCCAGATCTTCTGAGGAAAGAGTACCTGGCTTGTGCATTGTTTGTTTTGGTGGTGTGTTTGCGTGTCTGTTTTAGTGTATTGACTATATGTATACCACTTATGATACGAAATAAACATGTATTATTATTATTATTATTATTATTATTATTATTATTATTATTATTATTATTATTATTATTATTATTGCATGCTTATTGCAAACGCACACACGTGCTTGAAGCCTGGAACCAGGGTAAATGCTTGAGTAGGATGCTTCTATCTAATATATTGAAACATGACGAAGACAACTGAAACGAACACCATACAGACACAAAACCGTGAACCCAGCACCACTACTGACACTTGGGATAACTCGGATAACTCCACTCCTATATATGTATAAATATTCCTTCCAGAAAGCTGGTTGCATCGATCCGTCGTGCGGTGTCGGCTATGACGCTGGCAGGGGGCTCGCGCCAAACGACCCCTCGTGAGGATGCGGGTGGTCGTGGCCAGCCCCTTGCCTCAATGGGAACTTCTGCTGACAGTGGCCGTGTGGACGCCCCCTCTAAGCATTGGCTGCTGTCGATGTAGAGCATGTTCACGGAGTTTTTATCTTGTGTCATCAGCTGCAAGAGAACGGTATGGTATGGTAATGGTAACGAAGCGAGCAAAGTCTTCGTAGAATAACGGAAAATTCTGAGTATGAGCGGCTGGCTGACCGTGGTCATGATACTGTGAGGGCTATATCTCAGCAACCACGTGACCAATTTACCCGCGTCCCACTGGGGTCTGCGCATACCATGCCCTACCGGGGGGGGGGGGGGAGCTATCCATAGCTCCCCCTCCTAACTCCGAAACTACTTGGCCGATCGTCAAATTTCAAACGGCTTCTGATAGCCCCGGAAAAACTGTCGGGCAAAACCTACTTTTATCGACCTCTAAGTCACCGATGACGTCACATGTCAGGTCAAAGAAAACATTATCGATGTTTGCCAGAGTTCACATTTTGGGCTCTGGCCGCCGTCTTACAAGTCAGATCAGGATTACGTTTGGTTTATACACTCGTGAACAGATCCTTTAGATACCCTGAGGATACCAAACCTGTACTTTGATTTTCAGGTCAGGGTCAGGTCATCACAGGTCACGGAAATATTAATATCATGCATCGGTCACGTGACACATGGTTTATGGTCCATTTCGGCCATAGATTTCGAATTCGATGTCTTTTATGTCATTCGAGGTCATTTTAAGTTGAATTTAGCTTAGGTCAGGCCACTTTGAGGTAAAAAAGGTCAAATTTTACAGTTGAAATTTTTCAACAAAAAAGTGTTTATCAAATGTGTTTTGAGCTCAGGAAAACGATGATGCTATTTATATTGGTGTACGATGTCAAATACGTACTGAAAATTGATTTTAAAAATTTCTAATTGTGAAATTTTTGCTATAATGCATATAACATGGTCATTTTTGAAGATAACTGGCTAAAACTTGCTAGAGTGGGTCAAAAGCATGTGTTATATCACATATATTCCGTTTTTTCGAAAAGTCAAAAACTGTTTGAAAAAAATACAAATGTAAATTTTGAGTTTAAATATACATGATTTTAAAAAAATTCAAATTTTGAACATCCGAGATAGCAGTTTGATAGCGCATTCTATTTTGAGTCGTCGCATGCAACGAAATTGGATTTAGCTTAAAAACGGAGCTCTTGGGAGCGATTGCCGTGGTTCAATGTTTTGCGTCGAAATCGGTCGAACGTGACGTCACTCTGACGTCTTTTTGGCCGATCTGTGGTAGCTACGAAGTTCATATTTTTACACAAAGTGTCAAATTGATGCAGCCGAAGGTGCTGAAAGCTTGGCGTCGATACGTTAAGCGGTTTGGAAGTTAATGCAGAAAAACGGGAGGGGGCTATGAATAGCCCCCCTCCCCCCAGTGGGGCGCGCGGTAATTTCTGAAGGGTAGCTTTATTCCATCTACCAAATATTAGACTATGTTCTTTGCTTGTGGGTGATTGGAGAGTCTTTAGTAAAACTTTGTCACTTTTTATGTGAACATGCAATGGAAATAGGCAATATTATATGCTTACTGCATGTTCCTTCTGTTTGACTTCTAGATAATCCAGACATGTCGCATGTAAGTCTTCCGATGCAGTCTGAATTGTTTTGACATTGACATCCCTCCTTGCTCTTGCTGGAAGGCAGGTTCTTGCACTGCAATGAATAATAAGCTCACGCGTATGTTGGACACAACTTAAAGAATCCACAGGATAGCTAAAGGCCACATACGGTGTTTGCGAGAATAAAAAAATCGAAAATGTTGCGTGCCAGCAACGGTATATTCGAGCATTATAGGTGAGATGATGTTTTTTCGTACTCCATCGTAGATGGGTAGCCAAACGGCTGCCACGGTTGACAGTGATGACATCAGTCATCTTTTTGCAAGCTCGTTAAAGATGAATGATGTCATCACTGTCAACCGTGGCAGCCGTATATGGCTACCCATCTACGCTTGAGTACGAAAAAACATCATCTCACGCTCTCAGTCCCAGCGGATAAAAACAACACCTAAGAGCACTATAGGTATAATTCAAAGAAAATTTTCGAAATGAAAAAGCCAATATCATAAAACAATGAGAGCTTTCACTTCCCAGCCATCATTTGATGCCATCACTGAAATGGCACGAATCGCCTATTTAAATTCTAACTTTACATCCAGACTTACACAAACATAATTATGACACTTGTTCGACTTGCAGTCGGAGTCGATTGTGCAGCCACAGTCTTCTGGCAGGTTGCCAAAATCTTGACAAGGGCCTTCTTGCTCTTCAGCTATAAATATGAGAAAAACAATGATACAGTGAAGCCATACAACACCATGATTAACGTTATTTTAAAACGTTAGATTTGGCGGGCATTCATTAAAACAATGATACTTTTATATATGAACTTGCAATTAACATAGGCAACAAATTAAATACGTACTGCATGTTCCTTCTGTTTGATTTCTAGATAATCCAGACATGTCGCATGTAAGTCTTCCAATGCAGTCTGAATTGTCTTGACATTGGCATCCCTCCTTGCTCTTACTAGAAGGCAGATTCTTGCACTGCAATAAATAATGACATTACATGAATGTTGGACACACCTTACACAATCAACATGATTACGGAGCGAGCGAAGCGAGCGGAGTCTTTACTTAGATTAACCCTCGCGGGCCCGGGGGGGGGGCGTTTTTCGCCCCCCCCCCCCCTGGCGAATATTTGCGATAACTCCCGAACGCTTATGCCTGAAACAGACTCTTTACGCAGTCAGGAAATCGGATGCGAGAGCCTATTAAAATACATGGAAGCACGCTCGCATCAATCGCACGCACCTCCCGGATGCGATTGAAGCGGGAAGAAATATAATGTATTTGAATAGGCTCTCGCATGCGATTTCCTGAACGCGGAAAGAGTCTGTTTCAGCCTTTAGGGATAGGAAGGCGAAACTTTCAGTACCTTTTCTCCCATCAATTTGACATCTTCTGAAGTAAAAAATTTGGACCTAGCCCCCTTGATGACGTCACAAGGTCCATTTTTCTAGACCCCTGCACGGCAAACTTCGGCGTCACAGACGCATACTTCAAATAGCTGCTAAAAATAGAGTTTTAGAGATAAAGACAAATTACGAGCACGGCTGTGTAGCGTTTGACCTAGTGAAAAATGGAAAAATAGTTTTGGTGACCTGAGGTTAGAGGTCAGGTCAACGACCCCGAAATGTGGTTTTAGTTTTTCGCAAATAACTTCGACAAAAATGGTCCTAGAGCTACGGCAGTGGTACCATCGCATTCGCCTTGTCAAGCCGCGTCGAATGATATATATTTTGTTCGGAAAAGGTCAAGTTTCATGTTGACCTCATGTGACCTCGAATGACCTCTGGTTGACCTTGACACATTGAAGGTCGTTTATGATGGATTTGTACCCGCTGATCACGAATCTGGCATCTATTTTCCTCTAAGCCTTCATTTAGAGCTTCCGGATGGCAAAATTGTCTTATTTATTATTACTAACTTGAATCAGTGAAATAGCCTCTAGCAGGGATACTCTTCTGTGACCTTGACCTTTGAGCAGCCTTGTATCGTAAGATGAACCACAAATAGGGAACTGATAAGCCTAAAAACATTTCAAAACATCTTGGAATTTAGCACGCAAGATGTGCGAAAAAGTGCCAAGTTTGAGGTCAATTTTGAGCGTGACCTTGACCTTGACCTTTGATTTGGAGCACATTTTCAGGATCTTCAGATTCTCTTCTTTCGTTCGACACCCAATTTTGCCGGTTTGATGCAGCCTGCCGTCCTCTAGAAGGCTTACTTTGATATCACTACACATGTGCCGGTTTTGGCCTTTGACCTTGACCTCTGACCTTGAAAATTCACCTGAGGTCAAAAATTTTAGGTGCATTAGAATCGTCTCGTAAGGACCTTTCGTTTGGTATCGCTTTTGTTTCCGTAGCTCCCTTGTTTACGGAGTTAGACAGGGGGGGGGGCGAAAAACGCCCCCCCGGGCTGCGGTGGTTGGGATTACCCCCCGGGCCCGGCCGGGTTAACGGAAATTTCTGAGTATGAGCGCCCTTGACCGATTTACATGCGGTAATTTTTGTAGGGTAGCTTCTTTCCGTTTACCAAGTATTGGACTATTCGCGATGCATATGGGTGACCCCTTATGCACGTGCCACGTGCAAAACGAAGAGGTGTCACTTTTGTAATTTTTGCAATATCTCGGTAACTACTTGGCCGATTGCGCTGAAAGTTGGCATGCAGGTAGGCACCCACTAGGCAATGCATATCCATGTGCCGGAGTAGGGGTGCTGCTGCACGTGCGCACGTGCAGGGGTCGATTCCAGATCTCGAGAACGGCTGGACTGATGGCGCTCAAATTTGGTACATGGCTAGGGACCGGTTAGTAGGGTGCCGTGCAAAAGTCAGTTGGGACCCATTTTGCACGTGCGCACGTGCAGGGTGCCGCTTCCAGATCTCGAGAACGGCTCGGCCGATTGTGCTCAAATTTGGCACATCGCTAGAGACCGGTTAGTAGGGTGCCGTGCACAAGTCAGCTGGAGGTACCCCCTCGAAATTTCGCACGTGCAAGGCTCACCCTCTCGCTCGCTCCGTTAGTCGCCCCAAAAGGTGTTATACTGGTAATTTAGAGTCGCGTTAAGCGTCAACCCTCGCCGGCACAGGTCATTTTGCGTCCTTCGACGGCACGGGGGGGGAGCTACGACCCCCTCGCGTTTGGCATCTGATCGTGCTAGAGCTTTGCTGAAAAAACGAGCGTTTTGCCCATCACGAGAGAAAGCCGATGATACCCAATTTAAAGGTCCTAGGTCACCGGTTGAACCTCCAGGTCACTGGTCAGGTCAATGACCCAAAAGTCAGGAAAATTGGAAAATTGGGACCTGTTAGAACGTAGTAACGTGTGAACTGCTAAGAGGTTGGTCGGGGTGCTGATCACGAATATCGTGTTAGTTTTGATCACAGATGATGTCTTTATGCATTTTAAAATTTCGAAAAAAAAAGAAACGAAGTCACGACATGTCAATGAACTGACCTGACCTTCAGGTAACTTTGTTATTCACCTTAATGCATGGAAATAGCATCAATTCAGATGTTTGAACGTTTGAAACCGCGAAGAGATTGCAAACACGCTGATAATGCGAGCCGACATACGCCGAAACGCGATTCCGGCCAAGCATGGTCTCGGAAATAGGTCACAGGTCAAAGGTCATTTGTGTCAGGGTCATGCAATTTCCAGGGTAGGTGTAACATTGATGAATGCGAAGGTACTGAAAGTTTTGTTGCGATTAGCCGCTTTTACGCGAAGTATTTGCGAAATACCTTAGGGGAAGGGGGTGCATTAACCCGCCTGTGCTGGCGAGGGTTAACACTTAACTTGAATAACAAAAAAGGAAAATGTTGGATTCCAGCAATGGTATCCAACATTCGAGCACTACAGTTAATTCAAAGTAAAATTTCGAACTGGAAAGTCTACATAAAACAATGAGCCTTCACTTCCCAACCATCATTTGATGACATCACTGAAATGGCACGAAACGCATAATTCACTTCTAGCTATACTTCCAGACTTACACAAACATAACTATGACACTTGTTCGACTTGCAGTCGGAGTCGATTGTGCAGCCACAGTCTTCTGGCAGGTTGCCAAAATCTTGACAAGGGTCTTCTTGCTCCTCAGCTATAAATATGAGAAAAACAATGATACAGTCAATCCATACAACTCCACGAAGAACGTTATTTTAAAACGTTAGTTTTGGCGGGCATTCAGTATAACAATGATACTTTTTATATATTAACTTGCAATTAACATAGGCAACAAATTATATACGTACTGCATGTTCCTTCTGTTTGATTTCTAGATAATCCAGACATGTCGCATGTAAGTCTTCCAATGCAGTCTGAATTGTCTTGACATTGGCATCCCTCCTTGCTCTTACTAGAAGGCAGATTCTTGCACTGCAATAAATAATGACATTACATAAATGGTGGACACACCTTACACAATCAACATGATAATTTAGAGTCACGTTAAGCGTTAACCCTCGCCGGCACAGGTCATTTTGCGTCCTTCGACGGCACAGGGGGGGCTACGACCCCCTCGCGTTTGGCATCTGATCGTGCTAGAGCTTTGGTGAAAAAACGAGCGTTTTGCCCATCACGAGAGAAAGCCGTTGATACCCAATTTAAAGGTCCTAGGTCACCGGTTGAACCTCCAGGTCACTGGTCAGGTCAATGACCCAAAAGTCAGGAAAATTGGAAAATTGGGACCTGTTAGAATGTAGTAATGTGTGAACTGCTAAGAGGTTTGTCGGGGTGCTGATCACGAATATTGTGTTAGTTTTGATTACAGATGATATCTTTATGCATTTGAAAATTTCGAAAAAGTGAACCGAAGTCACGACATGTCAATGAACTGACCTGACCTTCAGGTAACTTTGTTATTCACCCTAATGCATGGAAATAACATCAGTTCAGATGTTTGAACGTTTGAAATCGCGAAGAGATTGCAAACACGCAGATAATGCGAGCCGACATACGCTGAAACGCGATTCTGGCCAAGCATGGTCTCGGAAATAGGTCACAGGTCAAAGGTCATTTTTGTCAGGGTTATGCAATTTCCAGGGTAGGTGTAACATTGATGAATACGAATGTACTGAAAGTTTTATTGCGATTAGCCGCTTTTACGCGAAGTATTTGCGAAATACCTTAGGGGAAGGGGTGCATCAACCCGCCTGTGCTGGCGAGGGTTAACACTTGACTTGAATAACAAAAAATAAAAATGTTGGATTCCAGCAATGGTATCTAACATTCGAGCACTAACAGTTAATTCAAAGTAAAATTTCGAACTTGAAAGTCTACATAAAACAATGAGCCTTCACTTCGCAACCATCATTTGATGACATCACTGAAATGGCACGAAACGCATAATTCACTTCTAGCTATATACGTCCAGACTTACACAAACATAATTATGACACTTGTTCGACTTGCAGTCGGAGTCGATTGTGCAGCCACAGTCTTCTGGCAGGTTGCCAAAATCTTGACAAGTGTCTTCTTGCTCCTCAGCTATAAATATGAGAAATACAATGATACAGTGAAGCCATACAACTCCACGAAGAACGTTATTTTAAAACGTTAGTTTTGGCGGTCATTCAGTATAACAATGATACTTTTTATATGAACTTGCAATTAACATAGGCAACAAATTATATACGTACTGCATGTTCCTGCTGTTTGATTTCTAGATAATCCAGACATGTCGCATGTAAGTCTTCCAATGCAGTCTGAATTGTCTTGACATTGGCATCCCTCCTTGCTCTTACTAGAAGGCAGATTCTTGCACTGCAATAAATAATGACATTACATAAATGTTGGACACACCTTACACAATCATCATGATAATTTAGAGTCACGTTAAGCGTTAACCCTCGCCGGCACAGGTCATTTTGCGTCCTTCGACGGCACAGGGGGGGGGGGGCTACGACCCCCTCGCGTTTGGCATCTGATCGTGCTAGAGCTTTGCTGAAAAAAACGAGCGTTTTACCCATCACGAGAGAAAGCCGATGATACCCAATATAAAGGTCCTAGGTCAACGGTTGAACCTCCAGGTCACTGGTCAGGTCAATGACTCAAAAGTCAGGAAAATGGGAAAATTGGGACCTGTTAGAACGTAGTAACGTGTGAACTGCTAAGAGGTTGGTCGGGGTACTGATCACGAATAGGGTGTTAGTTTTGATCACAGATGATGTCTTTATGCATTTGAAAATTTCGAAAAAGTGAACCGAAGTCACGACATTTCAATGAACTGACCTGACCTTCAGGTAACTTTGTTATTCACCTTAATGCATGGAAATAACATCAATTCAGATGTTTGAACGTTTAAAACCGCGAAAGATTGCAAACACGCGGATAATGCGAGCCGACATACGCCGAAACGCGACTCCGGCCAAGCATGGTCTCGGAAATAGGTCACAGGTCAAAGGTCATTTTTGTCAGGGTCATGCAATTTCCAGGGTAGGTGTAACATTGATGAATGCGAAGGTACTGAAAGTTTTGTTGCGATTAGCCGCTTTTACGCGAAGCATTTGCGAAATACCTTAGGGGAAGGGGGTGCACCAACCCGCCTGTGCTGGCGAGGGAATACTAACATTCGAGCACTACAGTTAATTCAAAGTAAAATTTCGAACTGGAAAGTCTACATAAAACAATGAGCCTTCACTTCGCAACCATCATTTGATGACATCACTAAAATGGCACGAAACGCATAATTCACTTCTAGCTATACGTCCAGACTTACACAAACATAATTATGACACTTGTTCGACTTGCAGTCGGAGTCGATTGTGCAGCCACAGTCTTCTGGCAGGTTGCCAAAATCTTGACAAGGGTCTTCTTGCTCCTCAGCTATAGATATGAGAAAAGCAATGATGCAGGGAACTGCCATACAACACCACGGTGAACGTTATTTTTATATGAAGAAATAGTATGCAGTGCTCTACCGAGGAACATCTTGATATATCGACACCTTTTTTTAAACCCCACATCTGCTCTCCCGTGAATTTCCGGGAGGCACGAAAGATCTCCTTTTTAAAATTGTCCAATCGTCCGATCCTGATCAAATATGTGTGTTCGTAGGCCTGTTCTGGTATTGCTTTATCTGCCAAGACAGACAAACTTGAGAAAAGTCGAGTGATTGTACCTTTTTTGAAGGTCTCTAACCAACTTGTCTGAAATTCACCGGAGAACAATTGTGGGGTTAAAAAAAGGTGTAGATATATAGTTATGATTTGAAATGACCTTATCCTCGATAATTAATTGGAAATGCAATAAAAGAAAATATTATATTGTTTGGCACATTTTCGAACCACAGTTCATTCTCAAGCCACATGAAACCATTGACAATGAAGTTTTTTAACTGCCTCCAGGCTACATTTTTAAAGTCTCACACGTCAGCCATGATATGACGAAAAAAAAAACGGTTTTTATCTAAAGTTTTTAAATTTTAAATTAACAAGAATAACACTGATATATTTCGAGCACTGCTCTTCGTCGGTCTTACAAGGTACAAATTATTATCATGCCAAAATACGCAGAATGAAGAATTCGTCTCAAATCCTTCACTAATGTCACAAGCATTGAATAATTATACCGAGCAGTCAGACAATCAGACATTTCCTCATAACGCTTAGTATAATCAAAGATTGCAATGCTAGACTTTAATTTGTGAAATAGCCTCTAGCAAGGGCACTCTTGCCCGACCTTGACCTTAGGGCAGCCTTTTATCGTAACATGAGCCACAAATAGGTGCCTGATATCCTTCAGAATAGTTCAAAACATTTTGGAAATTAGTGTACAAGATATACGAAAAAGTGCAAAGTTTGAGGTCAATTTTGAGCATGGCCTTGACCTTGACCTGGAGGTTTGTGCACATCTTCATATTCCTGTGATTCTCTTCTTTAAGTTCTCAATCTGTTTCATGCATTCTGTCGTCCTGGAACACTTAGTTTGAGGTCACTAGACATGTGCCGGTTCTTTGCTTTTGACCTTGACCGCTGACCTTGAAATTTGACCTAAGGTCAAAAATCTTAGGTGGAAACACCTTAGAATTTACTACACAAGATTTTCTATAAAAAGGAAAGGTATGAGGTCATTTTTGAACATTCTTTTCTTTGACCTTTTATTTTGTGAACATTTTCGGAACATTTTCTCCTAATCATCGTTTTTCGTTCTACACCGATTTTGGCCGGTTTTAAGCACTTTCTGTCCTCTAGAACGCTTGCTTTTATATTACTACATACTTAACTTGCCGTTTTTCCAGTAGCTTTGATCTCTGACCTTGAAAATCGACCTGATGTAAACACAAATTTAAGCGCTAACGAATCGTCTCGTAGAGACCTTTCGTTTGGCACCGTTTTTGTTTCCGTAGCTCCCTCATTTATTGAGTAAGACAGGGGAAAGGCGAAAAACTCCCCTCTCGGCCTGCAGTGGTTGGGATTACCCCCGGGCCCGACCGTAAATTAATTTGTCAGCTGCACGAAAACTGTTTACACTGCCGTGCATCAGCAATCAACTTACTGCAAGTTCCATCTGTTTGGCCACCAGATACCCCAGACAAATCGCATGTAAGCGATCCGATGCAGTCTGTGTTGTCCTGGCATTGACATCCCTCCTTGTTCTTCACAGTTGGATTGCTCTGGCACTGAAACAAAATTACCAATACTTATTTCAAATGCAATGCAATGATATTAACCATGTTCAGTGTTTGACACATATAACAAACTGATAGATGAATTAACAACAGCCACAAAAGGTATCGTTTATAGCGAAAAAATCCTGAAACTTCTCGTCCCTCATCAAACTTACACAGATATAATTATGACATTTTCCCGATTGACAGTCTGCGTCGATTGTACAGCCACAGTCTTCCGGTAAGTTGCCAAAATCTTGACAAGGGTCGTCGTCTTCAGCTGACAAGAGAGAAAACGAATTTACTGCTTTAGCGGTTCCTTTTTTAATCTGAATTGGTAAGCGTACTTTGCTGCAGTTAAACATAGATTTGTATAAAAACTTAATCTACAGAAGGCACCATCCACCACTAAATTAAAGTAGAAGGAAATGTTCATGGAAAAGATGCAAAACATATTCAGATGTTAAAGGGACTATCCCACCTTCTAAAATGTTGTTAAAACCAGTTAAATTGTGCCCGACTTTATAGATTGGATGACCAGGAACACGGTTCTGGCATTTATTTTTCATTAAACATCTTAGGCTTCCCATATTCCAAACACAAACTTTCAAATATGTGACGTCACAGCCCAAAATTACCTCCTTCCCCAGGCCACATTACTGTCATAAAGCTGATTCTTTTTACTCTGTAGGCACCACAACAAAGTTCAGACCAAGTTTTAAGCGATTTTTCAACGAACAAACCCATTTAAATCAGAATGACTAAACGAGGTGACGTCACACTAACGGTCGCTCCATGTTGAAGATAGGGCCTTGTACAAGGCCCATTTTCAAATGAAGGGAACGAATTTCTTCAACACCAAGAGGCCGCGGGGGTTGCAACCTAGATAGATAGTGGTTTCTGAACCTCGCCGCAAACTTGGCTATCTCAACTCAAACCCCATGTTAAAGGTGGGATAGTCCCTTTAAGCTTATGTGAGGGCAGCAAAAAAAAAAACACCAAGGAGCATGTGGTGCATTTAGTTGTCTATCTTATTTTGTAATATTTATCTAAGTATACTTACTAAAAATCATCGGTACTGTTGCTTATTCGTTTTAAAGGGACCCTCCCACCTTAACATTAGATTTGAGTTGAGATAGCCAAAATGGGGTCCCTGGCTCACAATTACCGGTTTCGGCACTCACAACATCGAGAAATGCCTTAAATCGGAAATATTGAATTTCAAAATTGCAGCATTTTGATTCAGAGGGGCTAATGCATAGGAATACCCCTCTGAATGTGTGACGTCATCGCAGATATCTAACGATTTTTAAATGTTTGACTAAAACGTTTTGTAGCACGCGGTGGTATATGCTGCTTTGCGCGCAACAAATGCCGCACTTTCAAATAAAGTCGCTAGGAACAACGGAGATCCCAAAAAGTAAACAAAAGTAAAAGTCTAATATCTTGAAAACCGGTGAATATTTTTCGATGAAATTTGGTAGATATTCGTTTTTGCTCTTTCTGAACCGAGCAACATCACTTTCATGCCAATTCATTAACTTTTTTGAAGGTGGGAGGGTCCCTTTAAATCATAAACTAGGCTTATGATAACCTTAGCTCTTTTGTCAACGCCATGAAAGCGTTTTAAATACCGTGTCTAAGCAATCATCTTACTACAAGTTCCATCTGTTTGGCCTCCAGATACCCCAGACAAATCGCATGTAAGCGATCCGATGCAGTCTGTGTTGTCCTGGCATTGACATCCCTCCTTGCTCTTCACAGTTGGATTGCTCTGGCACTGAAACGATATTATCAACAGGCTATTGAAATGTAATTCAGTGATCTCTACCGTGGTCAGGGCATTCGACATCCATAAGAAATGGATTGGTTAGAAAAAATAATACTTGTCATTCATATCGTAAACAAAATATTCCGGAAATCGCTCATCCCTCTTCAAACTTACACAGATATAATTATGACATTTTCCGGATTGACAGTCTGCGTCGATTGTACAGCCACAGTCTTCCGGTAAGTTGCCAAAATCTTGACAAGGGTCGTCGTCTTCCGCTGACAAGAGAGAAAACCAATTTACTGCTATAGTGGTTCCTTTTTTAATCTGAATTCGTAAGCGTACTTTGCTGCAGTTAAACATAGGTTTGTATAAAAATTTAATCTACAGAAGGCACCATTTTGCACTAACTTAAAGCAGAAGGAAATGTTCATGGAAAAGATGCAAAACATATTCAGATGTTAAGCTTATATGAGGGCAGCAAATAAAAAACACACAGACAAGGGGCATGTGGTCAGTGGTGCATTTAGTTGTCTCTCGTATTTTGCAATATTTATCTGAGTTAACTCAAAAAAATGATCGGTACTGTTGCTTATTTATTTTAAATCATAAACCAGCCTTATGATAACCTTAGCTCTTTTGTCAATGGCATGAAAGCTGTTTAAACTGCTGTGTCTAAAAAATCATCTTACTGCAAGTTCCATCTGTTTGGCCTCCAGATACCCCAGACAAATCGCATGTAAGCGATCCGATGCAGTCTGTGTTGTCCTGGCATTGACATCCCTCCTTGCTCTTCACAGTTGGATTGCTCTGGCACTGAAACGATACGATCAACAGGCTATTGAAATGTAATTCAGTGATATCTACCGTGGTAGCATTTGACATCCATAAAAAAATGATTGGTTAGAGAAAATAATGCTTGTCATTCATATCGTAAACAAACTATTCCAGAAATCGCTCATCCCTCTTCAAACTTACACAGATATAATTATGACATTTTCCCGATTGACAGTCTGCGTCGATTGTACAGCCACAGTCTTCCAGGAAGTTGCCAAAATCTTGACAAGGGTCGTCGTCTTCAGCTGACAAGAGAGAAAACCAATTTACTACTATAGTGGTTCCTTTTTTAATCTGAATTCGTAAGCGTACTTTGCAGCAGTTAAACATTGGTTTGTATAAAAACTTAATCTACAGACGGCACCATCCACCACTAAATTAAAGTAGCAGGAAATGTTCATGGAAAAGATGCAAACATATTCAGATGTTAAGCTTATGTGAGGGCAGCAAACAAAAAAAAAATCACCAAGGGGCATGTGGTGCATTTAGTTGTCTATCTTATTTTGCCATATTTATCTAAGCATACTAAAAAAAATCATCGGTACTGTTGCTTATTCATTTTAAATCATAAACCAGCCTTATGCTAACCTTAGCTCTTTTGTCAACGGCATGAAAGCCGTAACTGCTGTGTCTAAGCAATCATCTTACTGCAAGTTCCATCTGTTTGGCCTCCAGATACCCCAGACAAATTGCATGTAAGCGATTCGATGCAGTCTGTGTTGTCCTGGCATTGACATCCCTCCTTGCTCTTCACAGTTGGATTGCTCTGGCACTGAAACCATATTATCAACGGGCTATTGAAATGCAATTCAGTGATATCTACCGTGGTCAGAGCATTTGACATCCATAAGAAATTGATTGGTTAGAGAAAATAATGCTTGTCATTCATATCGTAAACAAACTATTCCAGAAATCGCTCATCCCTCTTCAAACTTACACAGATATAATTATGACATTTTCCCGATTGACAGTCTGCGTCGATTGTACAGCCACAGTCTTCCGGTAAGTTGCCAAAATCTTGACAAGGGTCGTCGTCTTCAGCTGACAAGAGAGAAAACGAATTTACTGCTTTAGCGGTTCCTTTTTTAATCTGAATTGGTAAACGTACTTTGCTGCAGTTAAACATAGGTTTGTATAAAAACTTAATCTACAGAAGGCACCATCCACCACTAAATTAAAGTAGAAGGAAATGTTCATGGAAAAGATGCAAAACATATTCAGATGTTAAGCTTATGTAAGGGCAGCAAAAAAAAACACCAAGGGGCATGTGGTGCATTTAGTTGTCTATCTTATTTTGCAATATTTATCTGAGTATACTAAAAAAAATCATCGGTACTGTTGCTTATTCATTTTATATATTTTTTATAACTTTATTCCGAATGGCTGAATGGGCTGATTTGAGAATCAGAGCCCGCACTAAGCAAAGCTTGTTATGCTGACCCTGACCCCACCACCCGATCGCGCAATTCCAGTTGTATGGCAGAATTTTGTCCGAGCGTTTAACGTGCCCTTACGACTGGACATGGTCCCCTCCGCTCACTCACGTTACCTGGCTTCTGTGCGGGCCCTGCCACAGACAAGCACGCCTTACACGTAGGAGCTAAATGTGGCCGCCCGCTCCGGGGCTTGAATCATAAACCAGACTTATGATAATTTTATTTCTTTTTTCAATGGCAAGCTGTTAAAACTGCTGTGTCTAAGCAATCATCTTACTGCAAGTTCCATCTGTTTGGTCTCCAGATACCCCAGACAAATCGCATGTAAGCGATCCGATGCAGTCTGTGTTGTCCTGGCATTGACATCCCTCTTTGCTCTTCACAGTTGGATTGGTCTGGCACTGAAACGATGTTATCAATAGGTTATTCAAATGCAATTCAATGATATCTGCTGTGGCCAGCGTAGTTAACATCCATAAGAAACTAATTGGTTAGAAAAAATCATTTCACAAATAGTATAGTGGATAATACTTGTCATTCATATCGTAAAAAAGTATTCCGGAAATTGCACATCCCTCTTCAAACTTACACAGATATAATTATGACACTTTCCCGATTGACAGTCTGCGTCGATTGTACAGCCACAGTCTTCCGGTAAGTTGCCAAAATCTTGACAAGGGTCGTTGTCTTCAGCTGACAAGAGAGAAAACCAATTTACTACTATAGTGGTTCCTTTTTTAATCTGAATTGGTAAGCGTACTTTGCTGCAGTTAAACATAGGTTTGTATAAAAACTTAATCTACAGAAGGCACCATCCACCACTAAATTAAAGTAGAAGGAAATGTTCATGGAAAAGATGCAAAACATATTCAGATATTGCGCTTATGTGAGGGCTGCCAAAAAAAAGCACCAATGGGCATGTGGTGCATTTAGTTGTCTATCTTATTTTGTAATATTTATCTGAGTAAACTAAAAAAAATCATCGGTACTTTATTCATTTTAAATCATCAACCAGTCTAATGATAACCTTAGCTAACAAAAAGACGTATATTGAGGCACAGAGCAGCATATTTTTAATAAATCCAACCGGTTTCAAAGACCTCTCGTCTTCGTCATCAGGGATTGAAACATACAGAAAGGAGAAAGGTTACATATTTAAGCGCTGAAGAGATTCTCTTCAATTCAAGAGATTCAAGAGATTCAAGAGATTCTCTTCAGCGCTTAAATATGTAACCTTTCTCCTTTCTGTATGTTTCAATCCCTGATGACGAAGACGAGAGGTCTTTGAAACCGGTTGGATTTATTAAAAATATGCTGCTCTGTGCCTCAATATACGTCTTTTTGTTAATCTTTACCAGAGCAATGAACAGTAATATCAATAACCTTAGCTCTTTTGTCAACGGCATGAAAGCTGTTTAAACTGCTGTGTCTAAGCAATCATCTTACTGCAAGTTCCATCTGTTTCGCCTCCAGATACCCCAGACAAATCGCATGTAAGCGATCCGATGCAGTCTGTGTTGTCCTGGCATTGACATCCCTCCTTGCTCTTCACAGTTGGATTGCTCTGGCACTGAAACGATATTATCAACAGGCTATTGAAATGCAATTCAGTGATCTCTACCGTGGTCAGGGCATTCGACATCCATAAGAAATTGATTGGTTAGAAAAAATAATGCTTGTCATTCATATCGTAAACAAAATAATCCGGAAATCGCTCATCCCTCTTCAAACTTACACAGATATAATTATGACATTTTCCCGATTGACAGTCTGCGTCGATTGTACAGCCACAGTCTTCCGGTAAGTTGCCAAAATCTTGACAAGGGTCGTCGTCTTCCGCTGACAAGAGAGTCAACCAATTTATTGCTATAGTGGTTTTAATCTGAATTCGTAATCGTGCGAGTACTTTGCTGCAGTTTAACATTGGTTTGTGCAAAAACTTAATCTACAGAAGGAACCACGCACCAGTAAATTAAAATAGAAGGAAGTGCTCATGGAAAAGATGCAAAACATATTCAGATGTTAAGCTTATGTGAGGACAGCAAACAAAAATCACCAATGGGCATGTCATACATTTAGTTGTCTATCACATTTTGCAATATTTATCTGAGTTTACTAAAAAAAATCCAACGGTGCTGTTGCTTATGCAAGTTAGATTTTTTATAACCTTAGTCCGAATGGCTGAATGGGCGGATTTGAAAAATCAGAGCCCGCACTAAGCATAGCTTGTTGCGCTGACCCTGACCCCACCACCCGATCGCGCAATTCCAGTTGTATGGCAGAATTTTGTCTGAACGTTTAACGTGCCCTCACGACTGGACACGGTCCCCTCCGCTCACTCACGTTACCTGGCATCTGTGCGGCCCCTGCCACAGACAAGCACGCCTTACACGTAGGAGCTAAATGTGGCCGTCCGCTCCGGGGTTAGAATCATAAACCAGACTTATGACAACCTTAGTTATTTCTTTTGTCAATGGCATGAAAGCTGTTAAAACTGCTGTGTTTAAGCAATCATCTTACTGCAAGTTCCATCTGTTTCGCCTCCAGATACCCCAGACAAATCGCATGTAAGCGATCCGATGCAGTCTGTGTTGTCCTGGCATTGACATCCCTCCTTGCTCTTCACAGTTGGATTGCTCTGGCACTGAAACGATATTATCAACAGGCTATTGAAATGCAATTCAGTGATATCTACCGTGGTCAGAGCATTTGACATCCATAAGAAATTGATTGGTTAGAAAGATAATGCTTATCATTCAAATCGTAAACAAAATATTCCGGAAATCGCTCATCCCTCTTCAAACTTACACAGATATAATTATGACATTTTCCCGATTGACAGTCTGCGTCGATTGTGCAGCCACAGTCTTCCGGTAAGTTACCAAAATCTTGACAAGGGTCGTCGTCTTCAGCTGACAAGAGAGAAAACGAATTTACTGCTTTAGCGGTTCCTTTTTTAATCTGAATTGGTAAACGTACTTTGCTGCAGTTAAACATAAGTTTGTATAAAAACTTAATCTACAGAAGGCACCATCCACCACTAAATTAAAGTAGAAGGAAATGTTCATGGAAAAGATGCAAAACATATTCAGATGTTAAGCTTATGTGAGGGCAGCAAAAAAAAAAAACACCAAGGGGCATGTGGTGCATTTAGTTGTCTATCTTATTTTGCAATATTTATCTGAGTATACTAAAAAAAAATCATCGGTACTGTTGCTTATTCATTTTAAGTCATAAACCAGGCTTATGATAACCTTAGCTCTTTTGTCAACGGCATGAAAGCTGTTAAAACTGCTGTGTCTAAGCAATCATCTTACTGCAAGTTCCATCTGTTTCGCCTCCCGATACCCCAGACAAATCGCATGTAAGCGATCCGATGCAGTCTGTGTTGTCCTGGCATTGACATCCCTCCTTGCTCTTCACAGTTGGATTGCTCTGGCACTGAAACGATATTATCAACAGGCTATTGAAATGCAATTCAGTGATCTCTACCGTGGTCAGGGCATTCGACATCCATAAGAAATTGATTGGTTAGAAAAAATAATGCTTGTCATTCATATCGTAAACAAAATAATCCGGAAATCGCTCATCCCTCTTCAAACTTACACAGATATAATTATGACATTTTCCCGATTGACAGTCTGCGTCGATTGTACAGCCACAGTCTTCCGGTAAGTTGCCAAAATCTTGACAAGGGTCGTCGTCTTCCGCTGACAAGAGAGAAAACCAATTTAATGCTATAATGGTTCCTTTTTTAATCTGAATTCGTAATCGTACTTTGCTGCAGTTTAACATTGGTTTGTGCAAAAAACTTAATCTACAGAAGGAACCACGCACCAGTAAATTAACCCTCGCATGTGTAGGGGGGGGGGGTCGGGTGGAACCCCCCCATGGTTTTTCGCGAAAAACTCGCGTAAAAAGCGGCCGATCGCGACGAAACGTTCAGTACCTTCACATTGATTGATCAATTTTACACCTACCCTGAAAACTTCATGACCCTGACCCAAATGACCTTTGACCTGTGACCTCTTTTCCGAGACCATGTTTGGCCGGAATCGCGATTCTGCGTATGTCGGCTCGCATTAGCCGCGCGTTTGCAAGCTTTTCGTGGTTTCAAACGTTCAAACATGTGATTTGATGTTGCTTCCATGCATTAGGGTGGGTCACAAGGTCACCTAAAGGTCAGGTCAGGTCATTGACCTTTGGTGACCTCGGGTGACCTCGGTTCACTTTTTCGAGCTGTACATGTTTCTAGGCTAGTTTTTGGAGCTGAATTCGAATTTAGCAACCATTTGAACATTTACGAAGCAGTTTTGGTGTCTTCGTAACATGTTACGAAGCTGTCAGAGGCGGTTGACACGTACTACGAATACCCGTCACGACGCCTACTGGTTGACCTGACCTGACCTGACCTGACCTGACCTGGTCTAAATGCTTAAAGACATCATCTTTGATCAAAACTAACACGATATTCGTGATCAGCACCCCGAAAACCCCTTAGCAGCCACACTTTAAGACTTTCTAACAGGTCCCGATTTTCCCGACTTTGGGTCATTGACCTGACCTGGAAGGTCAACCAATGACCTAGGACCTTAAAATTGGGTATCATCGGTTTCCTCTCGTCACGGGCAACACGCTCGTTTTTCCGCGAAGCTCTAGCTCGATCAGGGGCCAAACGGCAAGGGGAGTCCAACCGACCCCCCCCCCCCCCACACACACATTAGAAGCTGGCAAACGCCGCACACATGCGAGGGTTAAAATAGAAGGAAGTGCTCATGGAAAAGATGCAAAACATATTCAGATGTTAAGCTTATGTGAGGACAGCAAACAAAAATCACCAATGGGCATGTGATACATTTAGTTGTCTATCACATTTTGCAATATTTATCTGAGTATACTAAAAAAATCCAAGGGTGCTGTTGCCTATGCAAGTTAGATTTTTATAACCTTAGTCCGAATGGCTGAATGGGCGGATTTGAAAAATCAGAGCCCGCACTAAGCATAGCTTGTTGCGCTGACCCTGACCCCACCACCCGATCGCGCAATTCCAGTTGTATGGCAGAATTTTGTCCGAGCGTTTAACGTGCCCTCACGACTGGACACGGTCCCCTCCGCTCACTCCGTTACCTGGCTTCTGTGCGGCCCCTGCCACATACAAGAGCGCCTTACACGTAGGAGCTAAATGTGGCCGCCCGCTCCGGGGTTTGAATCATAAACCAGACTTATGATAACCTTAATACTTTTGTCACTGGCATGAAGGCTGTTAAAACTGCTGTGTCTAAGCAATCATCTTACTGCAAGTTCCATCTGTTTGGCCTCCAGATACCCCAGACAAATCGCATGTAAGCGATCCGATGCAGTCTGTGTTGTCCTGGCATTGACATCCCTCCTTGCTCTTCACAGTTGGATTGCTCTGGCACTGAAACGATATTATCAACAGGCTATTGAAGTGCAATTCAGTGATATCTACCGTGGTCAGAGCATTCGACATCCATAAGAAATTGATTGGTTAGAGAAAATAATGCTTGTCATTCATATCGTAAACAAAATAATCCGGAAATCGCTCATCCCTCTTCAAACTTACACAGATATAATTATGACATTTTCCCGATTGACAGTCTGCGTCGATTGTGCAGCCACAGTCTTCCGGTAAGTTGCCAAAATCTTGACAAGGGTCATCGTCTTCCGCTGACAAGAGAGAAAACCAATTTATTGATATAGTGGTTCCCTTTTTCAATCTGAATCCGTAAGCGTTCTTAGCTGCACTTAAATATAGGTTTGTATAAAAACTTAATCTACAGAAGGCACCATCCACCACTAAATTCAAGTAGAAGAAAATGGAAAAGATGCAAAACATATTCAGATGTTAAGCTTATGTGAGGGCAGCAAAAAAAAAGCACCAAGGGGCATGTGGTGCATTTAGTTGTCTATCTTATTTTGCAATATTTATCTGAGTATACTAAAAAAAATCATCGGTACTTTGCTTATTCATTTTAAATCATAAACCAGTCTGATGATAACCTTAGCTCTTTTGTCAACGGCATGAAATCTGTTTAATAAAGCCCCAGTCACACTAGGGCATCCGAGCGGTTACCGATAACTTGCGACCGGTCGGATGGTCATACTCGGCGAGTGGTCAGTGGACCGCTCGCAGACTGGTCGGAGATCGGCAAGCGGTCGGTGGCAGTCGGAGGTGGTCGGGAGAAGTCGGATAAAAATTGCGAACGGTTCGTAATTCCTCCCGATCAGTCGCCGACTGGTACAGGTCGGCGACCAGTCTGATTGCGGCCTGCGAGAGGCCTGCGGCCACTCGGCGACCTGTCGTCGACCAGTCGGCGACCGCTCGGCGATTGATCCTGGATGAACGGCACGGATCAGTCCGTAAACGAACGCCGATCTATCGGCGAGCAGTCTCGGATCGCTCGCAGATCGGTCGCCGATCTGTCGGGACTGGTCGTTGGTGCGCACCGACAAGTCGCGGACTGATCCGCAACCTTCGACGACCGCTGCGATTTGAATCCGATCAGTCGGCGAGAGGTCAGAATCCCAAACGCATTTTCCACAATGCGTCTGGCCCTGGACAGTCTGTAGTTGAAGACCCTTTTTTCCACAGTCATGTTACGCTAGAGAACGGCTTCATCAGCCACGGACGCAATGGAAATGCGTCATCACCGACGATGAAGTAGGGCATGTCTCTGGTATCATGTGGTAGTGGCTCGGGATCGGGAATGCTGAGCGCTTCAGCTTCTATGTCAGCACGGAGTGTCGAGCGGTTGAAGACGGAGCAGTCAGATGTCGACCCGTTGGCACCAACATCGGCCCATATAAACTTGTAGTCGGCGTCTACAAGAGCTAACAAGATGATGGAGAAATAGCCCTTGTAGTTGTAGAATACCGAGCCGGATTCGGAAGGACACTTGATGGCAACGTGCTTTCCATCCAAAGCACCAAGACAGTGGTGGAACTGCCATCGCGTGGAGAATCGTGCTGCAATTTGCTTCCAATCATCCAGGCAAGTGGGAGTGGGAATAACCTCACTCTGTAATTCTTCAATGATACTCTCACAGACTTCCCTTGTCAAGATCGAAATGCTATTGTGAGGCACCCGAAATTGGAAGCCAAGGCTGTGATAGCTCTCCCCGGTGGCAAGGTGACGTAGAGTGATAGCCAGCTTCAGTCCAGGTTCCAGAGGTTCTCTGAAGGAGGTTGTCTGCTTCCTGATCCGCTCAGACAGACGGATGAGCACCTCTCGAAACATTGATGGCTCCATTCGCATGTAGTTGATGAAATCATCAGGAAATTTTGCCTCAAGCTCTCTCATCAATGTGTGATAGGCGCCGAACTGTAAGCGTTTCTCCAGCCAAGGCCTTACCCAGTAACGACGCTTCCTTCTTGTCTTATTTTGGCCATATAGTATCCTCGCTAAAATCAGCGCATCTTGCTCCTGTTGGAGTCGCATCTGGATGAAGAGATGCGACAACTGGTGAGGTGGAATGCCAGCCATGACGCAACAGACAGAACTGACGACGGTTCAAAGGACACTGAGGAGTCGACTGTCAGTGTCGTTCGTATTTTTATGAATTTCTCGAAGGTCGGTTATCGGTCGGTGAACAGTCTGTTGTGAACGATGGTGACTCGCCGAATAGTCTTTCACTGATCTGCTCCATTCTCGACTAGTCTCAGACTGATCGCCGATCATCCACCGACTCACCCACGTCTGAGTACCGCGGTCGCCGACCACTCCTGTGAGGTGTGCGCCCTCTACCCGACCGCTCGCCGACCAGACGGCTCCCATCGGCGACCCGTCCGCTACTGGTCGAGTCCCACCAAAAGTGTGTGGTCACACTAGCACTCCCGAGTTGTAAATTTGCAGCCGACTGGTCGGCGACAGACGCGTATGTGACCACAACCAACCGATCGGCCGGACAAACGCAAACGACCGCTCGCAGACCTCAGTCGGCTAGAAGTCGCCGACAAAGGCGCTAGTGTGACTGGGGCTTAAACTGCTGTGTCTAAGCAATCATCTTACTGCAAGTTCCATCTGTTTCGCCTCCAGATACCCCAGACAAATCGCATGTAAGCGATCCGATGCAGTCTGTGTTGTCCTGGCATTGACATCCCTCCTTGCTCTTCACAGTTGGATTGCTCTGGCACTGAAACGATATTATCAACAGGCTATTGAAGTGCAATTCAGTGATATCTACCGTGGTCAGAGCATTCGACATCCATAAGAAATTGATTGGTTAGAGAAAATAATGCTTGTCATTCATATCGTAAACAAAATATTCCGGAAATCGCTCATCCCTCGTCAAACTTACACAGATATAATTATGACATTTTCCCGATTGACAGTCTGCGTCGATTGTACAGCCACAGTCTTCCGGTAAGTTGCCAAAATCTTGACAAGGGTCGTCGTCTTCAGCTGACAAGAGAGAAAACCAATTTACTACTATAGTGGTTCCTTTTTTAATCTGAATTCGTAAGCGTACTTTGCTGCGGTTAAACATAGGTTTGTATAAAAACTTAATCTACAGACGGCACCATCCACCACTAAATTAAAGTAGAAGGAAATGTTCATGGAAAAGATGCAAACATATTCAGATGTTAAGCTTATGTGAGGGCAGCAAAAAAAAAAATCACCAAGGGGCATGTGGTGCATTTAGTTGTCTATCTTATTTTGCCATATTTATCTAAGCATACCAAAAAAAAATCATCGGTACTGTTGTTTATTCATTTTAAATCATGAACCAGCCTTATGATAACCTTAGCTCTTTTGTCAACGGCATGAAAGCCGTATAAACTGCTGTGTCTAAGCAATCATCTTACTGCAAGTTCCATCTGTTTCGCCTCCAGATACCCCAGACAAATCGCATGTAAGCGATCCGATGCAGTCTGTGTTGTCCTGGCATTGACATCCCTCCTTGCTCTTCACAGTTGGATTGCTCTGGCACTGAAATGATATTATTAACAGACTATTGAAATGCAATTCAGTGATATCTACCGTGGTCAGAGCTTTCGACATCCATAAGAAATTGATTGGTTAGAAAGATAATGCTTGTTATTCATATCGTAAACAAAATATTCCGGAAATCGCTCATCCCTCTTCAAACTTACACAGATATAATTATGACATTTTCCCGATTGACAGTCTGCGTCGATTGTACAGCCACAGTCTTCCGGTAAGTTTCCAAAATCTTGACAAGGGTCGTCGTCTTCCGCTGACAAGAGAGAAAACCAATTTATTGCTATAGTGGTTCCTTTTTTAATCTGAATCCGTAAGCGTTCTTTGCTGCAGTTAAACATTGGTTTGTGTAAAAACTTAATCTACAGAAGGCACCACGCATAGTAAATGAAAGTAGAAGGAAGTGCTCATAGAAAAGGTGCAAAACACATTCAGATGTTAAGCTTATGTGAGGACAGCAAAAAAAAAAATCACCAATGGGCATGTGATACATTTAGTTGTCTATCACATTTTGCAATATTTATCTTAGTATACAAAAAAAAAAATCCATCGGTACTGTTGCTTATTCAATTTACATATTTTTTTATTAGGGGAGAGTGGGGAAAGATGCCCAGGTTTTTACTATGTCATATATTATTCGAAAATGACGATCGGAAAGCAAAAACTTGGAGTTTCAACGGAAGCCGACATCATTTTTCTCCAAAAATATCACACTTTCGTGCCTGAAATATGATAACTTTTTTTGCTATTAAGCATTTTCCTGAAGAAGTCAAAGGGGGCATCTTACCCCTGAGGGTGGGAAAGACGCCCCTGGCGTTGGGGAAGATGCCCCCTGCGCTATAAGTGACATAAATGGGCACGTGAATCGCCTGAACGAATCAGTAGTCCCTTCGAGCCTGCAGTAGACACCAAACGTCATCGTAAGGGCCCTCAAAAGTGGTCGTAAGGGGCTTCAGAGGTCATCGTTAGGGTCATCATAGTCCAGCGCGGCCAAACAAGCTTCCGTGGTGGCGTTCGGAGACCACTGTGGGGCCCTTATAGGTCTTCATGATGCTTGAGGGCCCTCGAGCCCATCGTGGGGACCTCAGATGCCAGCGCGGCTCGTGGAGCCAACGTGGGAGCCCTCAAAGGATGTCGTGAGGGGCCCTGGAGCCAATAATGGGGCCCACCGAGGCTGTCGTGAGGGCTCTCAGAGTCAGATGCCGCCCAAAAAGTCGCTGTGTGGGCCGAGAGACCGGCATGGGGAGCACCCGACCGTACTGGACTCTCAATAGTCCCAGACCGGCTTTTGTCTCTCATCACAAGCATGTAATAAATGATTTGACGGGCTGCTTGAAGGACAGCCTATGGATTTAGGGGGGCATCTTTCCCCATCAGGACAGGGGGCATCTTACCCCAAGGTACCGAAGTAACATTAAATCAGTACAATATGTTAGCCATAAAACTACACCCTGAAACAAACTGTTTGGGACACAGTACACGCACGTTACTGTATCACAACTATAGCAAGGGACGCAAAAATTATCTACCTTCTTTGATATTTACAATGTTTTGACACCAAAATATTTTTCGAAAGCAGCAAATAAAAAACATGCATTCACCAGCCAGCCGTTGCCCAACTGAGCTTCGCAAATTTTTTGTGTAGTTAACAAGGCAGGCTTCCGCTTTACGCTAAGAACATTAATTTCCAGGTCCGATTCTTTGTTTCGCCGCTAGAGGGGGTGGGGCGTCTTTCCCACCCTGGGCATCTTACCCCACTCTCCCCTACTTTAGTCCGAACGGCTGAATGGGCGGATTTGAGGAATCAGAGCCCGCACTAAGCATAGCTTGTTGTAGAAAAACACGGAACAAATAGTGGCATGAAAGCTGTTAAAACTGCTGTGTTTAAGCAATCATCTTACTGCAAGTTCCATCTGTTTCGCCTCCAGATACCCCAGACAAATCGCATGTAAGCGATCCGATGCAGTCTGTGTTGTCCTGGCATTGACATCCCTCCTTGCTCTTCACAGTTGGATTGCTCTGGCACTGAAACGATATTATCAACAGGCTATCGAATTGCAATTCAGTGATATCTACCGTGGACAGAGTAGTTGACATCCATAAGAAATTGATTGGTTAGAAAGATAATGCTTGTCATTCATATCGTAAACAAAATATTCCGGAAATCGCTCATCCCTCTTCAAACTTACACAGATATAATTATGACATTTTCCCGATTGACAGTCTGCGTCGATTGTACAGCCACAGTCTTCCGGTAAGTTGCCAAAATCTTGACAAGGGTCGTCGTCTTCAGCTGACAAGAGAGAAAACCAATTTACTGCTTTAGCGGTTCCTTTTTTAATCTGAATTCGTAAGCGTACTTTGCTGCATTTAAACATAGGTTTGTATAAAAACTTGATCTACAGAAGGCACCATCCACCACTAAATTAAAGTAGAAGGAAATGTTCATGGAAAAGATGCAAAACATATTCATATGTTAAGCTTATGTAAGGGCAGCAAAAAAAAAAAAAAAAACACCAAGGGGCATGTGGTGCATTTAGTTGTCTATCTTATTTTGTAATATTTATCTGAGTATACTAAATAAAAATCATCGGTACTGTTGCTTATTCATTTTAAACCATAAACTAGCCTTATGCTAACCTTAGCTCTTTTGTCAACGCCATGAAAGGTGTTTAAAATACCGTGTCTAAGCAATCATCTTACTGCAAGTTCCATCTGTTTGGCCTCCAGATACCCCAGACAAATCGCATGTAAGCGATCCGATGCAGTCTGTGTTGTCCTGGCATTGACATCCCTCCTTGCTCTTCACAGTTGGATTGCTCTGGCACTGAAACGATATTATCAACAGGCTATTGAAATGCAATTCAGTGATATCTTCCGTGGTCAGAGCATTTGACATTCATAAGAAATTGATTGGTTAGAATTTTAGAAAGATAATGCTTGTCATTCATATCGTAAACAAAATATTCCGGAATTCGCTCATCCCTCTTCAAACTTACACAGATATAATTATGACATTTTCCCGATTGACAGTCTGCGTCGATTGTACAGCCACAGTCTTCCGGTAAGTTGCCAAAATCTTGACAAGGGTCGTCGTCTTCCGCTGACAAGAGAGAAAACCAATTTATTGCTTTAGTGGTTCCTTTTTTAATCTGAATCCGTAAGCGTTCTTTGCTGCAGTTAAACATTGGTTTGTGTCAAAACTTAATCTACAGAAGGCACCACGCATAGTAAATGAAAGTAGAAGGAAGTGCTCATAGAAAAGGTGCAAAACACATTCAGATGTTAAGCTTATGTGAGGACAGCAAAATAAAAAAAAAATCCCCAATGGGCATGTGATACATTTAGTTGTCTATCATATTTTGCAATATTTATCTTAGTATACTAAAAAAATCCATCGGTACTGTTGCTTATTCAATTTACATATTTTTTTTTTTATTACTTTAGTCCGAACGGCTGAATGGGCGGATTTGAGGAATCAGAGCCCGCACTAAGCATAGCTTGTTGTGCTGACCCTGACCCCACCACCCGATCGCGCAATTCCTGTTGTATGGCAGAATTTTGTCCGAATATTTAACGTGCCCTCACGACTGGACACGGTCCCCTCCGCTCACTCACGTTACCTGGCTTCTGTGCGGGCCCTGCCACAGACAAGCACGCCTTACACGTAGGAGCTAAATGTGGCCGCCCGCTCCGGGGTTTGAATCATAAACCAGACTTATGATAACCTTAACCCTCGCCGGACCTATTGGTTTTCTACATACGCGCCGGCCGAGGGGGGGGGGGGCGGGTACGACCCCCCCTCGCCGTTTCGCCCCTGGTGGAGCTAGCGCGTCGCGGAAAAAAGGAGCGTGTGCGCCGTTACGAGTCGCAGAGATTGGTACCCGATTTTAAGGTCCTAGGTCAACCGTTGACCTCTGAGGTCAGGTCAAGTGTCCCAGGGTACGGTTCAGTTTTTGGTGAATAACTTCGCAAAAAACGGCCACAGAGCCGCGATTTTGGCAGCATCGTGTTTGCCTCGCTCAGGCGCGTCGAATGATATACTTTTTGTCCGGGTCAGGTCAACTTGGGTGTTGACCTCAGGTCAAGGTCAGGTCAGCACCCCCAGGTCACGAAGCTGGTCGAAAGAGGTCATGTCGCATATCATTCGATTCGGCAGGTCTTCCTGAGTGCATTGGTGGCTTTCTCGACTCGCTAGCTCAATTTGATCAAGAGTCATTGACGAAAAACTAATATGACCTTGATGACGTCATAAATGCCGTCACGCAAGGTCAACATTGCAAAAGTGACGCATCTAACCTTGCAAGGAGTGCATCAAATCACGATTCTGTGTGCTTGAGATAGTTGGAGATCGTTCCCGGCGGCAGAATATCAGTTTGAATTTTTCCCCATTGACTTATGTATAATGGTGTGGTCACGAAAATGACCTGACCTCATATGACCTTTAGGAAAAATCCGAGATAAACAAGTTGTGAGACTCATAATGGATACTAGATCCTGCAAGTTTCATTTCCCTGTGACATCTCCTCTGGCAGTGAGGGCGTTGCGAAGTTGCGACATCTGAAGACCGTGCAGAGGTTCACTTATGGCGTCATAGGTCAGTGACCTGACCTGACCCAAAAATGCGGTTGGTGTCAAAAGATGCGGCTTGGATCAAAGGTCAGGCATGCCAAGTTTCAGCTCTCTATCGCCAGCGTGTTCGGAGCTATCGCGAAAAAATCCTATGGGGGGGGCGGCACCCGCCCCCCCCCCCCCTCGGCCGGCGAGGGTTAAAGTTATTTCTTTTGTCAATGGCATGAAAGCTGTTAAAACTGCTGTGTTTAAGCAATCATCTTACTGCAAGTTCCATCTGTTTCGCCTCCAGATACCCCAGACAAATCGCATGTAAGCGATCCGATGCAGTCTGTGTTGTCCTGGCATTGACATCCCTCCTTGCTCTTCACAGTTGGGTTGCTCTGGCACTGGAACGATATTATCAATAGGTTATTCAAATGCAATTCAATGATGTCTACCGTGGTCAGAGTAGTTGACATCCATAAGAAATTGATTGGTTAGAAAAAATAATGCTTGTCATTCATATCGTAAACAAAATATTCCGGAAATCCCTCATCCCTCTTCAAACTTACACAGATATAATTATGACATTTTCCCGATTGGCAGTCTGCGTCGATTGTACAGCCACAGTCTTCCGGTAAGTTACCAAAACCTTGACAAGGGTTGTCGTCTTCAGCTGACAAGAGAGAAAACCAATTTACTGCTACAGTGGTTCCTTTTTTAATCTGAATTCGTAAGCTTACTTTGCTGCAGTTAAACATAGGTTTGTATGCAAACTTAATCTACAGAAGGCATCATTTTGCACTAAATTAACCCGCGCCCCAGTGTCAGTCTGGATTTTCCACGACCTGGTGTGGGGGGGTGTGTGTTTGAACACCCCCCTTCTAACTCGGCTCCTGGGCCACGTAGCGACACGCGGTAAGCGGCAATCGAAAGAACGTCAAAAATAAGGACGAAAACACTTCAGTCATTTTTTGGGTCAGGTCAAAGGTCAGGTCACCAGAGGTCACCAAAGGTAAAATGTTGACTATTTCAACATTTTGGAAACTGCCAACGGCTATCTCGGGAACCGATAGAGCTACAGCGCTACGGAAAAGCGCATTCGATAGCCCTTTTACAGACGTTTCTGAGTAATATCTCAGATTTGACCTCAGGTCAACGGTTTAGCCTCCGGAGGGCAAAAACTCCAAAAAATATCCGTTTTTACGAAAATCGGTTTTTCGGCGATAACTTTTGACTCAAAAGAGCCACGACATTACTTTTGCCAGCATCGTGTTCCTCTCGTCAAGACGCGTCGAATGAACTATAACTTGACCTTGAAAGGTCAACTTGAAAATTTGACCTCAGGTCAAGGTCATGACCTGACCGGAAAAGGTCATGTTGCATATCAGTCGATCTGCAACGTCAAGTCGAACACATCTAAGGCGTTTTCAGCGCTCTAGCACGCCTCTATCAGAAGTTATTAGCGAAAAACTGTTAGATTCTGTTCGTGACCTGAGATGACCTCGGGGATATAACGAGGGGTCACAGTTGCCATTTTCCGGTTCAGTGTGTCAATTTTACCTACATCTCGATGTTTGAGAGTGTCTAGAATAGCTTTCGTGCAAAACAGACGCTTTTCAATTTTCTCCCATTGACTTATAATGGAGAGGCCCCAAAATTGACCTGACCTTAGGTCACCGATATCAAAATTCCGAGATATACATTTTATAGATACTGTTAGTCTCATCAATCGCTAAAAGTTTCAAAGTGATCGGTCACTCGGTGTAGCTATGGCAGACATTGAAACTTTTTATGAGGTGAGGTCACTTCAAGTGACCTGGTGACCTGACCTCGAATGACCTTGGTCTGAAATTTTCACAACATGTGTAGAATTGATGTATGATAAGGTGTACCAAAAACGGCGGCGCTCCGCGCCGCCGTTTTTGAGATATCTGCGAAAAACCGTAAGGCGGGTGTTCAAACACCCCCACACTTGGGCGCGGGTTAAAGCAGAAGAAAATGTTCATGGAAAAGATGCAAAACATATTCAGATGTTAAGCTTATGTGAGGGCAGCAAAAAAAAACAAAAAAAAAACACACACCAAGGGGCATGTGGTCAGTGGTGCATTTAGTTGTCTATCTTATTTTGCAATATTTATCTGAGTTAACTCAAAAAAAAATAATCGGTACTGTTGCTTATTCATTTTAAATCATAAACCAGCCTTATGATAACCTTAGCTCTTTTGTCAACGGCAAGAAAGCTGTTTAAACTGCTGTGTCTAAAAAATCATCTTACTGCAAGTTCCATCTGTTTGGCTTCCAGATACCCCAGACAAATCGCATGTAAGCGATCCGATGCAGTCTGTGTTGTCCTGGCATTGACATCCCTCCTTGCTCTTCACAGTTGGATTGCTCTGGCACTGAAACGTTATTATCAACAGGCTATTGAAATGCAATTCAGTGATATCTACCGTGGTCAGAGTAGTTGACATCCATAAGAAATTGATTGGTTAGAAAGATAATGCTTGTCATTCATATCGTAAACAAAATATTCCGGAAATCGCTCATCCCTCTTCAAACTTACACAGATATAATTATGACATTTTCCCGATTGACAGTCTGCGTCGATTGTACAGCCACAGTCTTCCGGTAAGTTGCCAAAATCTTGACAAGGGTCGTCGTCTTCAGCTGACAAGAGAGAAAACTAATTTACTGCTTTAGCGGTTCCTTTTTTAATCTGAATTCGTAAGCGTACTTTGCTGCATTTAAACATAAAAAACTTGATCTACAGAAGGCACCGTGCACCACTAAATTAAAGTAGAAGGAAATGTTCATGGAAAAGATGCAAAACATATTCATATGTTAAGCTTATGTAAGGGCAGCAAAAAAAAAAAAAAAAACACCAAGGGGCATATGGTGCATTTAGTTGTCTATCTTATTTTGTAATATTTTTCTGAGTATACTAAATAAAAATCATCGGTACTGTTGCTTATTCATTTTAAATCATAAACTAGCCTTATGATAACCTTAGCTCTTTTGTCAACGCCATGAAAGGTGTTTAAAATACCGTGTCTAAGCAATCATCTTACTGCAAGTTCCATCTGTTTGGCCTCCAGATACCCCAGACAAATCGCATGTAAGCGATCCGATGCAGTCTGTGTTGTCCTGGCATTGACATCCCTCCTTGCTCTTCACAGTTGGATTGCTCTGGCACTGAAACGATATTATCAACAGGCTATTGAAATGCAATTCAGTGATATCTACCGTTTTCAGAGCATTTGACATTCATAAGAAATTGATTGGTTAGAAAGATAATGCTTGTCATTCATATCGTAAACAAAATATTCCGGAATTCGCTCATCCCTCTTCAAACTTACACAGATATAATTATGACATTTTCCCGATTGACAGTCTGCGTCGATTGTACAGCCACAGTCTTCCGGTAAGTTGCCAAAATCTTGACAAGGGTCGTCGTCTTCCGCTGACAAGAGAGAAAACCAATTTATTGCTTTAGTGGTTGCTTTTTTAATCTGAATCCGTAAGCGTTCTTTGCTGCAGTTAAACATTGGTTTGTGTCAAAACTTAATCTACAGAAGGCACCACGCATAGTAAATGAAAGTAGAAGGAAGTGCTCATAGAAAAGGTGCAAAACACATTCAGATGTTAAGCTTATGTGAGGACAGCAAAAAAAAAAATCCCCAATGGGCATGTGATACATTTAGTTGTCTATCATATTTTGCAATATTTATCTTAGTATACTAAAAAAATCCATCGGTACTGTTGCTTATTCAATTTACATATTTTTTATTACTTTAGTCCGAACGGCTGAATGGGCGGATTTGAGGAATCAGAGCCCGCACTAAGCATTGCTTGTTGTGCTGACCCTGACCTCACCACCCGATCGCGCAATTCCTGTTGTATGGCAGAATTTTGTCCGAATGTTTAACCCGGCACCGCCTGGGCTATTTCCGTACCCACGACAGCCTGGGGGGGGGGGGGGTCGGATCCGACCCCCCCCCTGTTATCTCGAGAACCAATGGTCGTATCGAGCCCCGCGAGGCGGCGTTCGAAAGGTCTCTACGAGACCTTCCCAAAGCACTCTTAAGATTTTAAGATTGAGGTCAATTTTCGGGTCAAGGTCAGGTCAAAGGTCAAATTCAGGGGTTTTGCATGATTAGGCTTACGGACAGCAGAATCGATAGCTGTTGCTCGAAACTCACCAAAAATGACCTCAAAGGCCTAGTGAAGGTACCATGTGCGTATGGGGGTCATACTAAGTACGGGTCAAGGTCAGGTCAGGTCACGAAAGGTCACGGTTTTCACTTTCTGCTACATAGGCGTGCGACACATGTTTTATGGCTTATTTTTCACGCCGAATCCGATGGTAATGGTTATATGTGACCCCAAGTCACTGTGCTGGTGATAAGTGTGCATTGAAAGCATAGAAAATCGTTTATACCATACATAACTAAAGGAGGGCTGAGAAAAAAGGTCAATTTTTCAACTTTTTATTTTTGACATAAAAATGCACTTTTCTAGACGAGCTTTGTCCCAGGAATCTAGTGGTGCCATTTGTTTTCACATGCGATGTTCAGAAGTGCCTCTAATTCACGAAAATGCTTATGACGTCACCATGCCCTATGCATGTTGGAGCTATTTTTTACAATTTGGGGGTCAAAAATCAAGATAGAAAGTTGAAATTTGGGGCATCTAATGTTCTAATAGAGCTCTACAACATATATTCCGGTTTTTTGGAAATTCCTAAAATTTTGGATTTTATTAGCTGTTTTCCAAAAAATATAGTTTTTTGAAATTTTAGGGGTGAAAAACGCATTTTATGGAAAATCCGAGATGGCCATTTTAAAGAACTCGTTGAGCTGCGTCTTTTCATGTCCTTAATTAGCAATTTGCTTAAAACCCTGATTTTTGGCGATTTTTTAAACATTTACCACTTTTTGACTAAAAACGCCATGTAGTAACATCACTAAAATCGATATATCTCAAAAAAAATTGGAAATTTTTTTTCTTAAAAATTGCACAGGAGACGTCGAATTGATGGGGGAGAAGGTATGCCAAGTTTCAAGTAGATAGCGAAAGTGGTTCATGAGTTATTCAAGAAAAACGGAGGGGGGGGTCGTATCCGACCCCCCCCCCCCAGGCGGTCGCGGGTTAACGTGCCCTCACGACTGGACACGGTCCCCTCCGCTCACTCACGTTACCTGGCTTCTGTGCGGGCCCTGCCACAGACAAGCACGCCTTACACGTAGGAGCTAAATGTGGCCGCCCGCTCCGGGGTTTGAATCATAAACCAGACTTATGATAACCTTAAAATTATTTCTTTTGTCAACGGCATGAAAGCTGTTTAAACTGCTGTGTCTAAAAAATCATCTTACTGCAAGTTCCATCTGTTTGGCTTCCAGATACCCCAGACAAATCGCATGTAAGCGATCCGATGCAGTCTGTGTTGTCCTGGCATTGACATCCCTCCTTGCTCTTCACAGTTGGATTGCTCTGGCACTGAAACGATATTATCAACAGGCTATTGAAATGCAATTCAGTGATATCTACCGTGGTCAGAGCATTTGACATTCATAAGAAATTGATTGGTTAGAAAGATAATGCTTGTCATTCATATCGTAAACAAAATATTCCGGAATTCGCTCATCCCTCTTCAAACTTACACAGATATAATTATGACATTTTCCCGATTGACAGTCTGCGTCGATTGTACAGCCACAGTCTTCCGGTAAGTTGCCAAAATCTTGACAAGGGTCGTCGTCGTCCGCTGACAAGAGAGAAAACCAATTTATTGCTATAGTGGTTCCTTTTTTAATCTGAATCCGTAAGCGTTCTGTGCTGCAGTTAAACATTGGTTTGTGTAAAAACTTAATCTACAGAAGGCACCACGCATAGTAAATGAAAATAGAAGGAAGTGCTCATAGAAAAGGTGCAAAACACATTCAGATGTTAAGCTTATGTGAGGACAGAAAAAACAAACAAAAAAACACACCAATGGGCTTGTGGTGCATTTTAGTCGTCTATCACGATTTGCAATATTTATCTGAGTATGCTAAAGAAAATCCATTAGTACTGTTGTTTATTCATTTTAAATCATAAACCCGACTTATGATAACCTTAGCTCTTTTGTCAACTGCATGAAAGTTGTTTAAACTGCTGTGTCTAATCAATCATCTTACTGCAAGTTCCATCTGTTTGGCCTCCAGATACCCCAGACAAATCGCATTTAAGCGATCCGCTGCAGTCTGTGTTGTCCTGACATTGGCAACCGGCCTTGCTCTTGACTGATGGGTCGTTTTGGCACTGTCAATAAGTTAAAGTGAAAAAACATGATTCTCTATATAGATGTATGTTGTACTGCGTTTTATGCTAACATAAGTTATAGTCAGTCGAAGCATATGCAAAAATATTTTTAATTTGGGAAGACCGTTACATGATGGAAGTATATGGTCCATTATACATTGGCTAAAAGCGCTTCATCCGTTTTTTTGCATCTATTGTTGTCACGGATCAATACATTTCATTACGGTGCGACTGTGTGAAGCTTACACAAACTCCTAAATGACACCTGGTGGACTGGCATTCTGCGTCCAGCATACAGCCACAGTCGTCTTCTAGGCTCGAGGCATTTTGGCACGGCTCGTCTGGAGCAGCTGTGAACATTGGATGATAACGTCTCGTGTTAACATGATATGAGAGCTGTAGGATAAGTGCGCATTTGGGTTACATTGCATTGACTTGGCCCTTAGAAGTATAAAAAACGTGCGGGCCCCAATGTACTGCGCTCGCTGACCTGGTCACTTTACTTACTGCAGGTTCCATATGGTTTTCTTTCAGTTGTTCCGGTCATATCACAAGTCAGTCCTTCCATGCAGTCTGAATTTTGCAGGCATTGGCAGCCCGCGATGCTCTTAACTGATGGATCGTTCTGGCACTGTCAGCAAAAGAAAATGTTGGTATTGGTATGCCGCAATGGAGCACGTCAATCCTCAAGTGCGCAGTCGTGTGCTGATACATGTCTTATTTCGACATGTCTTATTGGCTAAAAAGGTAGCGGAATGCAGGTGTTGCCTTCCGTTTGGTAAGTGTAACGTGTGCACATGTAAATTGGCTTTGTTACTGGTAGATTTAAAAAATAAACTATAAAGGAAGTGTTCGGAATGCTGCTGTTTCTTGTCGCTTAGAAGTTGAGAATCTGAAATGTTTTTTTCTTTTACTTTGATAGATACTGATATAGTTAAATTTGTACACTCGTAAATGATTGATGTCATGATATGTCAAAGCTAACTTACACAGAGTAGGTTATGGCACATGTTTGATAGGCAGTCCGGGTTGATCACACAGCTGCATCCGTCTTCATACTCGCCTAGAACTTGGCACCTCTCCTCCGATTCAGCTACCAACATACGTATGGTTTCTTAGGCATCGACGAAGCATCATTTCTTATTCTCCTAGGTAAATGATTGTAATTCGTATTCTTTTCGGGCTAGGTACACCGAGGTAAAAAATGTGAAACACCATATATTTTTGATTTATTGAGTTGCCTTGTTCACCGGTTTGAAAAATGGTTTGAAATTTGGTTTTGAACATGCTCACCTCAGTGTAGCTTGAAACGAATGCGAATCGCCTACATTTACTCTTTGAATCAAATTTAAAGTGTAACATTACATTATTTAAAGGCGTATACGTTGTCAAACGTGCTTAGCTTATGTATGTACAACTTGATGGCTGACTGTAATGTAGTAAAATTACCTGTTTTCAGTTAAAAATTGAACTTACTGCAGGTTCCGTATGGTTTTCTTTCAGTTGTTCCGTTCATATCACAAGTCAGCCCTTCCATGCAGTCTGAATTTTGCAGGCATTGGCAGCCCGCGATGCTCTTGACTGATGGATCGTTCTGGCACTGTCAGCAAATGAAATATGTTGGTATTCGTGTCAGTGGATACTCTTGACCCTAGCAGCCTTCTGCATGCAACAATATTTTTGAGATTTTTTCATGTGCTATATTTATTAAGAAAAAGTGCATCGAAGTACGTTGTTTGACAGTGAGACATGGGGTTTAATTTCCTTTTTTCACTTTACTTCAATTTCACTGTATTAAAGTAGAACATCACAAAAGCATGTGTTATTGAATTGACATGAATCGTGACTTACACAGACCAGATGATGGCACATGTTTGATTGGCAGTCCACGTTGATATTACAGCTGCAGCCGTCTTCAAATTCTCCCAGTTCTTGACAACTGCCATCTGGCTCAGCTACGAATATGGACGACATTCACAATGAAGGGCTGCTTTATAACTTTTATGATAGTATTTGTATTTGTACAAGCACGAACTATCCACACGGAAGTGGTTTTTACAGTTTTTAGTCATGTGAGGTACGAAAAAGGAGGGTAAAACAAACGCGACACACATAAAAATGAAAAAAAAAACATACATACGCGCCCCCTCTTACTAAAATCAGCTTCAGGTGACCTGCAAGAGGAGCTGCCGCTGCAGTTGTCTCTTAAACTGCCCGACTTCTCTTAAACTTATGATAAAAAATGAGGATAGCGTTTGCTGATGACAAACGGATCTATCTTGCTGAGCGTAATTCAACAGACAAAATAGCCGCACGATTGAACTATCTGTAACCTTTGTATATTGTTCATTTTGACAAATGTTTACTTTAATGAAAAACAATATCAAATTCTTATCTGTATTCAATGTAAACGCCTTTCGATTATTTCTTTATCAATACATTGATACAATACAGATAATGAACACTAATGAACAATAATGAACACATTGAATCGTGTGTGTTCATTATCTGTATTGTATCAATGTATTGATAAAGAAATAATCGAAACGCGTTTACATTGAATACAGATAAGAATTTGATATTGTTTTTCATTAAAGTAAATATCTGTAACCTTCCCTGGAACTGAAGTAGCTACGGAATAGTACAGACAAGGATAGCCAGCCCGTCGTGAAAATGGCTAGTGTGTTACCAAAACTGCAATGGTGCTGCTATTGAGCCTTAGATAGACATTGACAATGTACTTGAGCCAAAGATATGTATAGGCAATTTGCTTAGGCTTCAAGGTCTATATTGATCTCTTAAGTCTGTTTTTCTTTCAGTGAAAAAATAATTAGGCGCCTAACGGGTGTCTACTAATTAATGAGAAAAAGTTTAAAGGCTTATATCTCGGGTATTTTGTAACTTTGATAAGCGAAAATTCGCATGCTTATGCGTCCGTCTATTGGTTATCAAATACCTTCAGCGCAGCCCACTGAGCACACCATGTTTCACGTCACGCCGCACGCGCCACCCGACCCCCTTGATCAAACGTCGCGGCACCTCCACGTCAAACGAGACCGATAATTCCCGCCTTCCCGTCTTCAGATGTCGGTCCAAAGCTACAGTCTTGTCCCCTGGATATATTTCTTTCTTGACAAAGCCTCACAAGTATTCAATCGGCCACAGCTGCGACACAAAGGGTGGATTATCTTCTCGATCTTTCATGGGTACGCCGACCCCCTCCAGCATTGTGATGGTTTTAATTGCATAATGGACGAAAAATAGGTCAAATCAGAGTGCATAATCGCCATTTGGGTAATATTCGTCTTTTTTACCTTGGTGCCCTAAAAGATAAGAAATCAACGCATCCATTTGCCGTCCCTCGCACTATAGAACATCCACCCAATGATAACTCATTTTGGACACATGACTGGCAGCACCTCCCCCTCCGGAGAGCCCGTCTGGCCAGTGGCCACATCAGTAAGCTGGAAACCGGCAAGGAAACTTATCCACAGGTTGCAGTTGTATCATTCTTCACAGGAGCATACAAACCGGCAATAGACGGCATTTCTGTTCCTGGGTAAGTCAAGCAGCTCTCGTCACCCATTATCATCTCCATGCGTTCTCACCAGTTGACAGCGTGCCCCTGATAAGCCGACGCAAACGCTGTTATTCTCTGCGTTGCTGCGCTTTGGTGACCTCAGGTGCCTGTGTGCACCTCCGGTACTCAATTGCACATTTTCTACAGCAAAAAATACGACATAATAGTGGCAAATATAGTGGCGTCACACCAGCAGGCCCATTGACACCCCTCACTTTGCCCTTCGCACCCCATCGCCGGGATCTTGTTTCTGTAGCGAAACTCGCAGGGTTGCAGTCACTTCAAAACCTCTTCCAGCATGCTGAACGTTTCCTCTTATTTCAAATATCATAAGCATGCTATTGGCACATGGCTAAAAACCTTTAACTTGCACTAGGAGAACCATAAGTGCCATTTCCGTTGTAGAAAGGTAATTTTTCTTAAAACTGGCGAAGATTGCTTAGAACCGTTGTTTGCTTAACGTTCTCATGGCGACTGACCATGGTATTTTAAGTTTTCGTTTTGCGTGATTGACAAATGACATTCGCAACAGACATGTCTTTCAGCATGTGAGATATGCAGATTATTTATTACCATTAAAGGTTCGTATTAACTATCTGAACTTTTTCTCATTAATTAGTAGACACCCGTTATATCTATTGGAGGAAATAGTCTTGTTATTAGAAGCGAGCAAGCGTCTATGCATTTAAAGAAACGAAGGTCATTATTTATGAATGGGGTGTCCATGACCATCAACTTAACTTACTGCAGGTTCCATATGGCTTGCTTTCAGTTGTTCCGGTCATATCGCAAGTCAGTCCCCCGATGCAGTCTGAATTTTGCAGGCATTGGCAACCCGCGACACTCTTGACTGATGGATCGTTCTCGCACTGTGGATGATAGACAACGGCAATGTGTAATTGTCCACAAACATTTTTATAACATACTATGAATACGTGACTACAAGTCATGTGTAAGTATGGATTGCGAATGTTGACGATATTATTGTACGCAACGAGCACTTGACTCGGCGTTGTCTTTTTCCCTCTCAATTTCTGACGTAAGGACCATTTTTTGAAGTTGCGGTTCGAAGCAAACGATGAATGAACTTAGTAACTCTGTGCGGATACTGCTTGCCATGATACACTTCTTAAATAGCTGAAACTCTGCTTGAGGCTCATTATGAATATAAACCCGCGCCCCGTTGAGGTCTGGCAGGTTCCACGTCCTGTTGGGGGGGGGGGGGGCAAAGGGCCCCCCGTCGTATCTCCGGAACCAATAGCCGGATCGGAAAACTCAAACGGCATTCGAAAGGGCTCATCGAGATGCACAAGAAAGGATATCGATGACCTTCATATTTGACCTGTGACGTCGCAGGGAGGTCAAACAAGGTCAAATCAGTCCAATTTACAATGACGAGAAGTCGGTTATAAAAATGAAATCTAATTTTTCAAAATGAGTCTGTATATGATGTATATGATAGATCTGGCATGTGGATAGTCACCTGAGCGGATGATGACCTGTGACGTCACAACAGAGGTCAGCCTTGACCAATCAGAAAACACTTTCGTGAATCGTAAGGAAAGGCATGTTAAATTGTGAATATTCGAGTCTTTATGAAGACATGTCATATATATATGCAACCACAGAAACCTTCTTGACTATCTTTGTTGGACCTATGACGTGACGGGAATGTCAAATAATGTCAAATTGTACCAGTTTACAACGAAAAACATTTTTTATGTAAAAGTAACTTTACTCACGTGAAGGATCATATTCAGTCAGAAAGAGGTTGATAAGAATCATAAATATTACTCCTGACTGATTTCAAGCACAAATATCGAAAATATTGTTACGTCCATAAGAACAGTCGCTACTTTTTCAGTCAATAAATGGCTATATCTCAGACAGTTTTAGAGATTTTTTGGTAATTTTTGGCATGTGTAAGGCCAGTAAGAGGTTCTCTAAAATTTCGAGATAGCTGCTTTGTTTGCCATGCTTTTTTATACCCACGGTCCAATTTATGAGTCGCTAAGTTGAAACCCTGATTTTCTGCGATTTTTCTCCATTAACAACTTTTTCGACGAAAAATCACCGAACATGGCCTCAGTTTGACCTCTATAGCTCGTGACCTGAGATGACCTGGGACCCAATTTTTCAGGAGCTGTGTAAAATTGGTGTCCGGAGAGGTACTGAAAGATTCAAGTTGAAATTCGCAGCCGTTTTTGAGTTATCTGCGAAAAAACACAGGGGCCCCCTCAACGGGTGGCGGGTTAAGAGTGTAAAAAGAAACAGTAACCTCATAATATAAATCAGAACTAGTAGCCAAAAAGTTATATTTAAAACAATGATCAAATGTTTCGCTCTGGAGCTTCATCAGCGATAATAACAGAAAAACCTATACATTTTTCAACATACGTTTTCATATACATACGTGTTCAAAAACGTATGTTTTTTCTGTAATTATCGCTGATGAAGCTCCAGAAGCGAAATATTCAATCATTCTTTTTTAATATAACTTTTTGGCTACTCGTTCTGATTGATGTTATGAGGTTACTGGTTATTTTTACATTCTTATTATGCACTTCTTCTTCATCAAATATTACAGGTTTACTGGCTGTTGCTAATTGCTAATTTTTCATCAAAGCATTTTCGTCTAAGCTGCTTCAGGACGGTGGTCAGCTCGTGAATCTCGGGTCCGGGGAAAGATGGGGTGCACTTTGGACGCCCTCCTTCCATGGCGGCCTCGAAGCCAGTAGCGACCGGCGAAAAGCGCTGTATAGTATAAAAATCATAAGGAACTTTCTTATGACCATTTTGAGGTCAGAGTATTGTATGTATTCACGAAAAAAAAGCATTGTGAAGTGTGAACGCCTCTCGCCGCCTGAGGATGGTTCGATATTACTTTGTCGTTTAATTCCAAGGAGATGGTGTTGAGTCAGATACTTACTTGTGAGATGATATTTTTCGTACTCCAGCGTAAATGGGTAACCATACGGCTTCCACGGTTGACAGTGATGACATCAGTCATCTTTTGCAAGCTCGTTAAAGGAAATAGTTCACTTTCACGAAATTATTTTTTTTGCAAGGGATTTATGATTTTTTATGTTCAAAATAATCAGCAAAGAAAATAAAACCTTTTTATAACAAAAGATTATTTTCCATATTTTGATATAGGAAGAACTTTTCAGTTTCTGTAAGGCACACGCGATCCAGTATGAAAAGAGCATGGGTCCCGAAAATTCTTCAGAAACAGAGAAATTATCGCAGCCACCGGCATCTGGGCGATCTGCTCGATCTGATAATGTTCCCCTGAATGTCCTAATTGATCAGTACGAGAATTTCTCTAGAGTTCTCGTAGATAATTTCTCTAGTTTCTGAATAATTTTCGGGACCCATGCTCTTTTCATACTGGATGGAAATATATGCAAGGCACACATCCTCAACGCAAGACACCTTTTTCGGGACGAGAAATAGAATATCTTTGCCTAGGGTGATCGTTGGGCTGTAAAAGCTCCTGATTTATGCTCGTCTCAGCCCAAGCTACGGAACTGCTATTCCAGTTCAAAACCCATGTTAAAAAGTGAACTATTTCCTTTAAAGATAAAGATAAAGATCTTTAACGAAAGATAAAGATCTTTAACGAGCTTGCAAAAGATGACTGATGTCATCACTGTCAACCGTGGAAGCCGTATGGCTACCCATTTACGCTGGAGTACGAAAAATATCATCTCACGCTCTCAGTCCCAGCGGATAAAAACAACATCTAAGCAGATACTTACTTGTTTGGCAGCAACTTACTAATATTTCTGTCATTTCTTATTTCATGTCATTTAATGTTTTTACACTTACACATAGTAGATTGTGACATTTGGCGGATTGACAGTCTTGATCATTTTCACAGGTGCAGCCGTCCTCATACCTGCCTCCAACTTGACAATATTCCTCTGGATGCTCTGTAATTAGGAATGAAGTAGAATAGATGCCAAGACTGGAAGTGTGACACACTTAGCAGAGAAAATGTCACCCGGAAGAAGCGTGGTCAACCTTTGCAACATAGCTATTACCTAAGTGGCGTCGCCTCTTTTATATGAAGTGTTCCACGTGTGTGTCAACGCAGACGTGACATATGACTTAGGTACAAACATAAAATGTAGCTTTTAAACATAACATTTTACAATGTTCGTACCTTGAACTTGACTGAGATTCTGCTCAACTACTTTATGCCTTTTTCGAACAACGTGTGTGCTGTAGTTGATTGCAAAACAGTGTCCTCACCGCAAGTGCCGATGGGATGAGTAGCATTTGTTGCTGACTTGTCACACTCGAGTCCTTCATCACAGTCAGAATCTTGCAGACACATGCATCCTTCCTTGTTTTTCCACTGAAGAAAATGAAAAGTCATTTCAATGGAAGTAAACAAAACTGCAAAACTGCAGAAGTAAAAAAGAACCCAAACGTGATGAACATTGTGTCACCTTATGGGTAAGTACATACCTCATCATGAGCGCTCCGGTAGCAGGGGTGGTGGCAGAAGAAGCCCGAGCTGCAGTGCATGTAAAAGAACCGGTGATAAATCTCACGCAGTCGGTCCAGCTTTTCGTACTTTTCCAACGGATGACGGTAGCCGTGGCGATAGAACTTTCGGTACAGCCCAATCAGCCGCCCGTACTTCAGATATTTCTTCAAGTCGGGCACGAAGCCGTGAAGCTCGAGTGACTGGCGCAGCCCGGTCAGCTGTATCCACTTACGGCTGCCCCATAGACGGGGGGACAGGCCAATCAGCCTGCCCCACTTGTGGCTGCCCCACAGACGAGGGGAGAGCCCAATCAGCCTGCCCCACTTGTGGCTGCTCCTCAGACGGGGTCGGAAACCGAGACGGTGGCCGCCCGACGGACGGCGCCGGAAGCCCAGCAGGTGGCTGACGGACAGACGGGACCTTATACCAAGACGGTGACGGAGCGACAGAGTGGGCCGGATACCGAAACGGTGACGGAGCGACAGAGTGGGCCGGATACCGAGACGGTGGCTACCGCGATGGACCGTCGGCCGGCGCACTGGAACTCCCAGCAGTCGGTTGGTCCATGGCTTCAGACGGCTGATAGGCTGCCGGTGGGCGGTGACCTGCAGCAGGGTCACAACCGCCAGCAGCAGCACGGGTCGGAGCCACGCCATGGTGCTCAGCTGTGCCGTATCCCTCGGGAGGCACGGCGAGACCGCCAGTGCACCAGTAGCGACCCGCTGCGCCGCACCCTCCCTTTATACCCGTGCATTAGCTGAATGGTTTCCTGTTGACAAAGTCTGGCAGTTTGATCTCGTCATCAGAGTTGCCATTGGTTGACAGCAGCCCAGCGCGGTGTGATTGGTTATCGCGCAGATGAGTCGGGAGCTGTTGACTTGAGCAGGGCGCCAGAGATGGCTATATTATATACTTACTTGATGTAGAAACAATATTTATTGTATTTGAAAACAGTGCGCACAAATCAAAGATGCGAGTCGTGAGAAATCGGGCAATTTTCGGCTCCGGCCCCGGCCGCGAGGAAAATCTATCGGCAGCTTCAACTCCGGCTCCGATTTTGCGGTCTCAGGCGATTTAAACTTCGTCTCCTCAAATTTCACGCGCGATCAGTCCACTAGCAAAAATGAGCGACGCGACCAACATGGCCAGGCGAAGACAACGCAGCCGAGCGGTACGGTCTCCACGAATTGGAAACTGATTATAGACTGACACAACTCAGTTGCCGCATAGAGACAGAACAAATACGAGGAAGGAGAGTCGGAGACCCGCAGAAAGCTTCACTGTATATAATAACTTATCCAGTAACGATGGAATCGGAGGCTATGAATTTGAGTTCGAAGCATTCATCTATACGTATGTACTGTTTTGACAGCTCGGTGCAGACTTTACCGAACATAGACCTCTGCATACCTGTATACAGAGGTTTATAGTTCAACCGTAATACGTGTGTTGCAGGTTTGGCATATTGATTGATCCGTCCTTTCGACCGACCGTTTTTCTTTTAACATAAAGTCTTATTTAAAGTGGCCATCCCACCTTGACGTTAGTTTTTAGTTGAGATAGGCAAATCGGGGTCCATGGCTTGCAATCACCGGTTCGGGCATTCACAACATTAAAAAATGTTCTAAATCAGAGATAATTAATTTCAAAGTCTGCAGTTTTCGGATTCTAAGGGGCTAATGCGTTTGAACCCCCCTTCGACTTTGTGAGGTCAGCGCAGATCTAGCGATCTTTAAATCTATTACTAAAACTTTGGTAGGTACAAGACAATGGTTGCTGTGGTAGTATCACGGACGTATAAATAAACGTATAAATATGGATAGTTTATTTACACGTCCGTGGGTAGTATATACTGCCTTGCGCGCAACATCTGTCGCACTTTTAAGATAACAAATTATTGCTTACAAATGACGTCATAGGAACAGCGAAGTCCCCCAAAAATTAACAAAAATATAAGTCTAATATCTCATAAACCGGTGGATTTTTTTTCGGAGAAATTTGGTAGATATTCATTTTTTGCTCTTCCTGAACCACGGTACATCACTTGCATGCCAATTCATTAACTTTTTTGAAGGTGTGAGGGTCTCCTTAACCCTCGCCGGCCGGGGGCGGGTGGGTGCCGCCTCCCTCCATATTTTTTTTTCACGATAGCTCGGAATACTCCGGGAAAGAGAGCTGGAACTTCGCGTTCTTGACCTTTGATTCAAGCTGGATCTTGTGACACCAACTGCATTTCCAGGTTAGGTCAGCTCACTGACCTATGGCGTCATAAGTGAGCATCTGCAGCACGGTCCTAAAATGTCATAACTGCGCAATGTCCTTAGTGCCAGAAGAGCTGTCACAGGGAGATGAACTTACAGGAGCTAGTATCCTCCGGAGATCTTACAACTTGCATAGGTATCTCGGATTTTTTCCTTAAGGTCGCCTAAGGTCAGGTCGGTCACGTCACTTCACCATTGTAAGTCAATTGGGAAAATATAGAAACGGTTATTTTGGCGCCGATAATTATCTAAACCTAGCTCATGGACATGGAATCGTGATTTCATGATTTCAATATCCAGTGCTTCACTTTTGCATCGTTGACCGTGGGTGACGTCATTTATGACGTCTCTAGGGCCATAGGCGTTTGTCGTCATCAAATTGAGCTAGCGAGTCAGGAAAGCCACCAATGGACTCGAGAAGACCTTCTTAATAGAATGATATACAAAATATGGCCTACGATCAACTTCGTGACCTAAGTGGACCTGACCTGACCTAAACACGACGTCTGAGGTTAACATTCTCAGTTGACTTTATCCGAACAAAAAGTATACCATTCGACGCGCCCGAGGATGGCAAACACGATAGTGCCTAATTCGCGACTCCGCGACCATTTTTAGCGAAGCTATTTTCCAAAAACCGAAAACGTGTTTTAAGGCACTTGACCTGACCTTAGAGGTAACCGGTTAAATTGAGACCTTGAAATTAGGATAAACAGCTGCGTAGGGTAGCGGCGCAGACGCTCGTTATTCGCGAAGCTCTAGCTCAATAGGGGCTAAAGGGCGATTGGGGTCGTACCCTCCTCTCGCCCGGGGCGTTCGTAGAAAACTAATATGTCCGGCGAGGACTAATTTCCCTGGTTCTTATTTGCTTGTGACGGAAGTGGTTCAGTTTTGTCGGCCCATACTTCGAGGAAATTTCAGCACGGCTCCGGCTCTGGACTATGTATGAGGGCTCCAGCTGCTCTGAACCTGACGCCGGATTATGCTCTTGTGTATTGGCGCATAATATGTGGAATAATTGGTGGTCTTTAGTTGCTGTTTTTGCATCATCTTTCGTTTTTGTTTTGGCAAGGATAGGCCTTGGCTACGGCAAGAGCAATACGAGTAAAACCAAAGATAATTGGACAAGTAACATGTTAATGTGAAAGATCTTTACGCCGATGCCACTTGTCACGCCCTTCTTTTGATTGCTAGCTAAACCACGGCCTGTTGTGTGCATGTAGGTACATATGTGCCTTCAGTTGTGTCTGTTTTGCCTTCGTCTTCTTCTCTATGTATCTTAAAATACACTTTCAATCAAAATCTCTGGCGGAATCTTATTTGCACTGCACAGACAAACAAGACTTAAAACACACCCGGAAAGCAGTAGATTTTGAACACCAGCCTTCGACAACAGCTGTGCTTACATTTGTCGGCCCTGAGTACCTATTTGCAGTCCAGGCAAGCCTCAACAACAAGCGCATTGAACAATGCGCAATGCAGTGCGATGCTATTATGCTTCGATATATCGTTGGTATGTGTACTTAGCAGCCTCCATACTGCTTCCTGTTTGAAGCAGCTTTTATTAGTGGGGTTAGATGGCACGATTGGGAATGGTGTCAGCTCGTGCAAACATCCGCGCGCGTTGGACTGGCAACATTTTCGGAGATCGGTGGTACAGATATCGTGACCGAATCTGTGGCGGGCCAGCCATTCTGATGTGTTTTGGTTCTTTTTGTCTGGTAGGCTAGATTGATTTGAAAACGTGACAATTTTATTTGCCAATAATAAGTAACTTCAGAGCTATATTGAAGCCGTACCTACTAGCCGAGTTGGAAAATCGCAGTCCCTTCATATCATACGTTTAAGCACAATGAGTCGGTGTGTACAGCTTTATCGCATTGTGCTGTTGGTATTGTTTCGACAAAGCTGAGAAAAGCTCATTTGAGGTTTTATATCCAATTCAGAATGTGGATAGAAGATGGTAAGGCGCCCAGTCAGGTAAGACGCCCACTGCACCCCTGTGTCAAAACTATGAGACTGTGATTGTTTTTATTTATCTTTACGAAGCAGAAACCTTTTTGAAATAACATCACCGTGAACGAGCGGAACAGTTATGTGTTGTACATCTGCAGTGAAGCTGAGTTTGTTTTTCGTGAAATTCTTAAAAAGTATGTCATACATTTGAAAGTATAATATTAATGGTGAGTATGGCATGCGTGTCTCATGTGCTGTTCTACTAACTCACCTGGATATTTAAATTTGCCGTAAGCGGTCGTGCTGCGGCACAATGGCCCTTAGTTTCAATGCACTTTCTTTAAATTTTCAATCGGTGCCATAAGCTAAAACGCCCATCAGCAGTCGAGGGTAAAACGTCTATATCCATAACTTAGGTTGGATAACCTAACGTAACGTTCATAGGTCAGGTTAGGTTTGGAGACAGGCCCATATTGTTGGACATGTCTCCTAGCACCTATGCCGATGCCAAACAACCTTTATACACTTGTGACTTCTTCTGGTCTTGAGAAGATGCATATGCGGGTCATCGGGAGTTGTGAGTGACCTTTGATTTTGACTTGGTTGAGTTCGAGCTTTTTGTGCTTATGATGGACTTCATACACTGCTTCAAATTTCGATGGCTTAATTCAATCGAATTAAGCCATCGAACCCATGCATGGCGTCTAGCCGGGTAAGACGCCCATTTGCAAACCTTTCCAAAAGTGAAGAAAAATATCGTACATTAATCAAGCTAGGTTTTCATCCGCTCACCGTTGAAAGAGAAAATGTGAATGAATCGGGTGGTGACAAAAATATACTTCTGCGTGCCAAGCTAAGGGAGTTATGATCAACTTCCCTTAGCATGGGCATTGGGCGCTTTAGTTTTTATAGTTTTGTTGAGCTAGGCCCCTTCGGTCTGACAAGACCATTTTAGAGCAGGAAGGGTGATAAGAATTATGGGAAGACATTGGTTTGGGGAGACACCCTAGTGAGTCATCGGGGCTGAACTCGTCCAAGGACATGCCGACCAGCCCCCCCCCCCCCCCACCCCCACCCCCACCCAAGTACTCACTGCGCCCGGTTACGGGTGTGCTCCCCTGGAAGCAGCCCGCATGAGATGCCAGTCCAGCCCGGATCGAGGGTTGCAGCGAGGAGGAGGATCTCGGTATCCTGAGGATGGAAACGTCGGACGGGTTGATCAGATGGGCGTTTACTACCTTCTACCTACTTAGTAGGCATGGCTCCGACCCCGACTCCTGGCGATGACAGTGGCGATGACGGCTATATTCGATAGATTCACACTCTATATTGTTATAATTGCTACGACTTTCCGCAATATGGTCACATCAGACCGGCCTTCACAGTTCACATCGACGTCCCGTTTCTGTTTGTCTTGTCCTTTTTCCCTTTCCCCAGTTTCCAGAACAATTACAGGCACTGGCAGCGTCCAGCTTAGCAGCTCAACCACTTAGCTACCTACTGTTCAATTCTGGAAACTCTACTTTTACAGATGGCGCTGTAATCGCTGTATGTCCGCAGACTGCTCGCCCCGTTTTCGCCCAG